CCTCCCCTGTGAATCTGGTGGGCTCAGGGCCCCGTGGACAGCGGGCGGGCCTCCAGGAGGGGCGGGCGGAGGTGCGTGGTGTGGGGTCGCTGGTGCACAGAGAGGGCAGGAGGCCTGGCCTGCCCTCTGGCCCGCTGAGACCCTGGGGGGCCATGCTCCCCATGCCCACCCTTCTGCACGGTCTTGCACTGCTTCCCCTTTGAGGCTCACTCCGGGAGGTCCCTGTCCCGGGGGAACCTGGGCCAGGAGGGGTGTATGGAAAACCCCTGGCCTTCTGGAGCAACAGGGAAGTGCCCGGAATTAGGCTGCCAGGCCCAGCCAGCTCCGCCCCCAGAAGGTCAGCAGTCAGGCGGACGGGGCTCAGGACTCAGGCCTTGGGCGACCCGGCGCCGGCCTCCGAGGTCTTGTGCCCGGGACCACCGTGGGCCTGTCCCCTCCGCTCAACACAGGTGTCCTCGCTCCAGGGGACGGTCTGATCCGAAGCAGGGGCAGAGCAGTGGTCAGACTTGCAGCGATGTTTTTCCTGAGACGTTTTCTTATGAGAGACATGACTTCAAGAGCAGACATCGTGTTTGCTCGTCCAGACGTTCCTCGTTCCCATGGCTTTGCCTCATCTGCTCCATTTTGCCCTTTTTTCCTCTGTCTGGCTGGAGGATTGTGAGGAAAAGGCCAGGCTCTGTCGTGCCCTCCACCCTCCAGTGGGTCCCTGTACGGGACACTAACGTCGCGTTCCGCACATTCCCTGGTCGGTGCGGCCGGCCTGGCCGTGCGGGAGCCCAGAGCCGGGGAGGATCTCCTGTCCGTGTTTCTGTGAGCAAGCGGTCATCAGCGGGCCTTTCTTTTAAAGCGAGGCCGCCTGTGGTTTGGGGTGTGAGGGCAGCAGGGCCGGCCCTAAAGGGGCGCCGCCTCTCGGTCCCTGGACCTGCAGCCACTCGTCCTCAGGCGCGGCCGGTGGGGCAGCAGGGTACCCCCCGCCCTGAACAGGGCGAAGCTCCCGCCCAGCTTGAGGGCCAGGTTCCAGCTCTGCTTCCCTCACAGGCCCTGAAGTACTCCTTCCAGACCCACGACCGCCTGTGCTTCGTCATGGAGTACGCCAACGGAGGCGAGGTAGGGCCCGGGTCCCGGGGCGGCCCTTTCTGAGCCTCGGGTGTCTGGGTGGCTGCCCTCCCCGCTCCCCGCCTGGTTAGGGTCTCCGCCCCGTGACCCTGGCCCAGGTCGCCGGTCCCGCTCAGGCTCCCCGTCCCGCAGCTCTTCTTCCACCTGTCCCGGGAGCGGGTGTTCCCCGAGGACCGGGCCCGGTTCTACGGCGCCGAGATCGTGTCTGCCCTGGACTACCTGCACTCAGAGAAGAACGTGGTGTACCGGGACCTCAAGGTGGGCGGGGCCGGGGAATGGGGGCGGGGTGTGGAGGCGGCGTGGAGGCGGGCTGACCCGGAGGCCGCCTCCTGCAGCTGGAGAACCTCATGCTGGACAAGGACGGGCACATCAAGATCACGGACTTCGGGCTGTGCAAGGAGGGCATCAAGGATGGCGCCACCATGAAGACCTTCTGCGGGACGCCTGAGTACCTGGCCCCCGAGGTGCGCGTCTGCCGTGCCCCGAGTCCCCCCTCCCCCCTCCCGACCCCCGAGTCCCCGTGTCTCAGGTGCCCTCTGAGCCCGTGCCCTGCAACCCCAGGTGCTGGAGGACAACGACTACGGCCGGGCGGTGGACTGGTGGGGGCTGGGCGTGGTCATGTACGAGATGATGTGCGGCCGCCTGCCCTTCTACAACCAGGACCACGAGAAGCTTTTCGAGCTCATCCTCATGGAGGAGATCCGCTTCCCACGCACGCTCAGCCCTGAGGCCAAGTCCCTGCTCTCAGGGCTGCTCAAGAAGGACCCCAAGCAGCGGTGAGCCCTGCCCTGGGCTGCCCCCCAGCCACCTGTCCCCCGAAACCCCCAGGGAACGACCGTGCTGGTGGCCGTGTGTGATGTCCTCGGCTTGGGCTGGCCCGGGCAGAGGGCCTGCTCACACCTGCTCAGGAAGAGCCGGCCCTGCCGGCAGCTCCTGCCCACCCAGCACCCTGCACCTGCTGCAGCTGCCCGGGCTGCTGCCTGGCGGCCGACCTCAGCCTGTGGGAGGAGGGGTCTGAACCTTGGGGCCCGGCAGGTGGCGACCCCGTCACCGCAGCCTCCGTCTCCCGCAGGCTCGGTGGGGGCTCCGAGGACGCCAAGGAGATCATGCAGCACCGCTTCTTCGCCAGCATCGTGTGGCAGGATGTGTATGAGAAGAAGGTGCGTGGGGCCTGTGTACACCCCTCCCCCCCCCACGCCCGCTCACACCCACCTGCTCACACACATACCTGCTTACACACCCCACAAGCACACGTGAGGAGGCCTCCGAGGAGCGAGGCAGCTGCTTCCTGCACGTGTGCCTCTGCACTTTGCCCTCGGAGGGACCTGGGAGCCCCAGGCCCTGGCCCGTGCTGGTGGGGTGGCCAGCAGGCTTAGGACGGTTGCCCCTAGGCTTGCTGGGTGCCTGTCTCCAAGCATGCTTCCACCCCGTTTCCAGCCCACCCCTCCCCTGCAGGCCACACATGGCCGGCTGGGCCTTTGTCCCTGTGAGACAGGGCTCTCCACCCTGCTCTGCTCCAGCCAGGGTCCTGCCGCCTCCTGGGCCTCCCTCCAAGGGCTCTAATCCCAGCCCTGACCCGAGAGACCCCCTGCTAGTTCCCAGGCAGCCCTGCACCCGGGCCCGGGGTCGGGGGAGTGGGGGTCCTTCCTCCCGCCAGCCTGTCCCTCTGCAGTTGCCCTTGCACCCTGCGCTGTGGTGAGTCCTCCCTGTGGCCTGACGCTGCCGGGCCACTCTGCCATCCAGGGACCGCGAGTGAGGCCGGTGGCCCCGCAGGTGGATCCCTGAAGGGCGAGGCCCCAGAGGGGACGTGGGCAGAGGAAGGCCCGGGCTCAGCCTTGGCTCCTGGGTGGGTCCTGAGTTAGGTCCAGGTCCAGGTCCAGGTGTGCCGGGCAGTACAGGGCGAGACCTGTAACGCAGCCCCCTTCCTGCAGCTCAGCCCACCCTTCAAGCCTCAGGTCACGTCCGAGACGGACACCAGGTATTTTGACGAAGAGTTCACAGCCCAGATTATCACCATCACGCCGCCCGACCGAGGTGAGGGGGCCTCCCTGCCGACGCCTTCCTCCTCTCCAGGCAACAGAACTCCGTGCTCAGCATTTTACTGGGAAGGCTCCCTCACGGGTGGCCGTCAGGGCGGGAGGGCCGCGGCCCCCGGCCCCGGGATCGTGGGATGGGGGCTCGCTGAGGCTGGACGCGGAGTCTGGGAGGCGAGCCCTGGGGCCGGCCTCACTTGCCCGGTGCCCGGAGCTGAACCGCCCCTCCCGCCCGCAGACGACAGCATGGAGGGCGTGGACAGCGAGCGGAGGCCTCACTTCCCCCAGTTCTCCTACTCGGCCAGCGGCACGGCCTGAGGGGCCAGCCGGCGTGCTTGGGACGCCACTGTGGGCAGCCACGTGCTCCGGACGAGGGCTTGGAAGACTCGGGAGGAAGCCTCGCACGGATGGATGATCTGTATTTAATGTTTCATATTTCCGGATGCGTTTGGGCGGAACCATTGCCGTCCTCCAACACGGATGGGAAGACGCCTCGTGCTGTGGGCAGGGCTGCCCGCCTTGGGGGCGGTGTCCTTTCGGCCAGCCAGGTCGGGAGGAAGACATCCTGCGGTTTTTCTTAATTTATTCATCCAGTTCTCCAGACGTGGCCGCGGCCTTTGGAACAATTAGATTCACGTAGGAAAACGTTGAGGACTTCTGCAGCCAAGTGCAGTCGGGCCTGGGTGGGCCCTGCCCGCGGCCCCTCCGTCCCTCTCGCCGGCTGTCCCTGGCTGCCCCTGCCTCGGCCCGGCCCGGGGTCCCCAGAAGCCACCTTGCCGTGGTGCGCTGGCCTGGCCCCCTCTCGCTCTGGGTGGGGCACGCAGCAGCCCCAGCACTGAGGCTGGAGGAGGGTGGCCCCTGCAATGGGGTTGGGCCGGGGTTCGCCGGCAAGATAGAAGAGCCAGGTGACATCTGTTGCCGAGTATTACGCTGTTCACGTGCATACTGGGGTTTCTAATCTCAGGAGAGGGCCCTCACTCCGCCCCCTTCCCCATTGGGACCGTCTCACCCGATGGCTTCCCCTGGTAGCACCTGTCCTTATAGAAGCTTCACTCTCCTGCTGTTGCCCTGGCCCCACCTGACACCCTTAGGAGGGGCCGTCGCTGCACCCCCCGTGTCTCCCGGCCGGATGCTGCGCTGCACCGTGGCGTTTTTTTATACTCAACTTTAGTATTTTTACTATTATGAGACTTTCCCTCCAAATTCTTCAATAAAAATTGCTTTTCAACTCTGTGGCTTGTTTTGCTGGGTGGCATGTGAAGGAGCATGTGGCCGGTCCGCTTGAGGGGAGCGCCCTGTCCTTCCTGCCCGGAGGCCCCAGGGATGACCTTTGAGGGACGACGTCCCCCCACCCCACTCCGGCGGGACTCACCGGAGCGGGGGATGCCCTGGCCGTCCCTGTCTCCACCTGGCTTCACCCCAGCCCCATGCCCCAAGGAAGCCACCCAGACTGCACAGCCGTCTGCCTACCAGCTCTGTCCATGCAATGCCGCAGACCCCGACCACCAGGAAGGACCAGCCACCCTGCAGGGCCCCGAGCTGGCCAAGGCCGAGACTCGGGTCACTGCCAGGCCCTAGGGCCCGAGGAGGACCGAGAGAGCGGCCTGCCGGCGGTCACACCGCAAGCCTGGGACAGCCGGGAGCGGGTCCGGGGCGCCCGAGCAGCCCAGCGGGACGTGCCGTGCGCGCCACCTGGTGGGTGCGGAGAGGAGCCGGCTGCCGGCGCTGGCCCGCGCGTCGGCCTCCAGGCGCCTGCCCAGAGAGGGGTGGGCGGAGCCTCAGCTCCTCCTCTCTCACGGGGACTCAACCCCGCAGGCGTGGCCGGGACGGGGCCGGACCTTTCACTGGGCCTGGCGCCTGGGCCCGGGGGAGGGGGCAGAGCAGCCTGCTTCTCCAGGCTCCGGGGCCCGTGACCCTGACAAGACATTCCTTGGGGCGGGGTGGCTGCCCCTTCTGCTGGAAGGGGCGCCTGCGCGGAGCATGAGGTGGGTGGGGTCAGTCAGGCCAGCGGGTGCCTCTCTGGGCGGTGCCTGATTGCTCAGTTTTGATAGGCTCTGAACTATTTCACTCCCACAGCTTTTTTTGGAAACCACAAACACACCAAATGTTACCTGCTAAATGATGCTTTGGATCCAGATTTCAGGTACGTAAAAACGTCCTTCAAATTGGAAGCCTGTGCACTGTGGGTAGGAATGTAAAATGGCTCAGCCTCTGGAAAACAGTATGGAAGTTCCTCAAAAAAATAAAAACAGAACTACCACGTGACCCAGCAATTCCACTCCTGGGTACACATATACCCCAAAGAGCTGAAGGCAGGGTCTTGAAGAGGTGTGTATTTTAACACATAAAAAAAGGAAAAAAAATGTATATTGTAGACACCAGAACCTACAGCAGTACCTTTCCATTATCCTCGAACTTCGAGCAAACGGTACCCCAAAGCGTCAGATGTGGTGTGGAAAACCGGGAGGTGCCTCTGAAGCTGGAGCTGGGGCATGTGGGGGGGTGGCGGCCAGCTGGCCAGGCGGAGGGGCACGAGCTGCGCTTTCTCGTGGGGCCTCCTTGGGTGATGATGGGGGGGATGGTTGGGGGATAACTGGGGGATGCGGGTGATGGCCTTAGGAACGTCCCTTGGCCTGGGACAGTCTTCAAGGTCATGGGCATGGACATGAGCACAAACTTACCCTGATGGTGTGTCCCATCCGGGTGGGTGGGGCCGAGAAGGAATGAGCCGAGGCCAGAGACCCCAGAGCCTCCCGGCCTTCGCGGAGGTGGGGCTGCGCAGGCGCCTCGGGGCGGAGTGGTAGGGGTGCAGGGAGACCGGCACTTCGGGGAGGAAACTCCTGGGCGCTATCCGGTCCCGGCCGCAGGGCCAGAGCAGAGCCAGAGGGGCCTGGTGAACAGCGGCCTGGGGCAGCGAGGACCAGCAGGGTGGAGGTCCCACGGCCTGGCCTGCACGGGGGCTGAACGCCCTCCCATGTCGCACCGAGCCCTTCCAAGCAGCAGGCCGGGCCTCCGGAGGGACAGCAAGACAGGAACAGAAGTGCCTTTAGCACCTGTAGTGCCCACGTTTCAGCAGGCATGGCTGGGTGCTGGAGGCCCTGGGGGCTACGGGTAGGTCAGCAGCTCCCAGCAAGGGGCCAGCCAGGCTGGGGTGTCGGGACAGCATAGGGGCGGGGTCTGCCTCCCAGTAAATGCCACTCCGGGGATGTCTGCTCAAAGACGGGTCATCATTCAACAGATAGTCTACCCTGTCCCTTTGAATTTGCTTGTGTCTTCATACTCAAGGTGAATTTGTTGCAGACAACAGAGTTGGCTGGGTCTCAACTGTTGTTTTGACGATCTGTGGGTCTCCACCCCTCGGGGGTGCTTAGGTCACGTACAGGAGTGGGATCTAGACGTGGCTGAGCTTAAACGTCACCTTGCTGTTACCTCTGTGCGTCCCTTTAGTTCTTTGTGCCTTCCTTCCTCTTTTTCACCCTCATTTTGGATTAAATAACTATTTTTTAACAAACCCATTTTATCTTTTTAAAAAAATTTTTCTTCATTTTTTTGGCCACGTCAGGTCTTAGTTGCGGCACGTGGGCTTCTCTCCAGTTGTGGCGTGTGGGTTTTCTCTCTCCGGTTGTGGCACTCGGGCTCCAGGGCGCGTGGGCCCTGTAGGTTGCAGCACGTGGGCTCTCTTGTTGAGGCGCGCGAGCGCCGGAGTTGTGGCGCGCAGCCTTAGTTCCTCCTCAGCATGTGGGATCTTAGTTCCCTGACCAGGGATTGAACCCACGTCCCCTGTATTGGAAGGCGGATTCTTCACCCCTGGACGACCAGGGAAGTCCCCCATTTTCTCTCTTTTATTGGCTTATTTCGATTTTACCAACTCTCTCACTGATGTTCCTTTTCTGTTCCAGGATCCAACCCAGGATCCTATGTGGAATTTAGAACAAATCTCTCCCGAAGGAACGACTGTAGCCACGGCCTGTCGGATGTCAGTCCATAACTCACCCAGCAGCCTGCCTTGGAGTGAAATTCAGCCCTTCACACGCACGGTCCTCAGAACACACACCTCCACTTGCCCGTCTCCGTGCTGTGGTCACTTTTGTTTCCACATGTTCAAAATCCCCAACACACATTATTAGTTTTGCTTTCGACAACTGTTTTTTAACGTTTTAAATATTCTTACTTGGTAAAATATATGTAAAACTTACCGCTTTAACCATTTTTAAGTGGCCAGTTCAGTGGCATTAAATGCATTCACGTGGCTGTGGCACCAGCACCACCATCGTCTCCAGAACTTTTCATCTTCACAAACTAAAACTCTGCTCCCGTTCAACACTCACTGCCCCTCCCCCGGCCCCACCCTTCCCCTGTCTGTCTCCGTGAACCCCACGGCTCTAAGGACCTCACAGGAGTGGAATCACACAGGACCTGTCCTTTGTGACTGGCTACTTCACCTGGCCTGACGTCCTCAAGGTCCATCTGTGCTGCAGTCTGTGTCAGGATCTCCTTCCTTTTTAAGGCCAAATCATATTCCATCGTATGGATGGACCACGATTTGCTTATCCATTCATCCCTTCGTGGACACGTGGTTTGTTTCCACATTTTTACTCTTGTGGACGCTATTGCGATGAACACAGGCGTACAGACATCTGCTCGAATCCCTGCTGGGTATTTGCCAGAAGTGGGGTCGCCAGGCCACGTGAGCTCTACTTTTCAGTCTCTGAGGAACAGCCATTCTGCTCCAGAGGCCGCGTCACCCTGCATCCCCACAGCAGTGCACAGGGCTCCCGGGTCCGCACAGCCCCGCCGGCACTTGTTCTCTGTTGGACAGCAGCCCCCTGCCGGGTGTGAGGCAGCATCTCCTGTGTAACTGAGCTGTGTTTCCCTGAGCATCTCTTCACGTGCTCCCTGGGGTCGTGGTCTGCAGGTGGACACTGGGACGGAGGCCCAGGGCCTCTACAGGAAGCCAGGCGAGAGGAGGTGACCCCACGATAAGGGCTCGTGCTGCTCTCACACGGCCGAGCCGGAGAGGCCTCTGAATGCTCTCAGCTCAGGAAGACCCATGGGGTCACTTGCAGCCGCCCCCAAGACCTCATGCCTCCCTGTGGCCCACCCCCGCTCCTGCTTCAGGGGTCCTAGGCTCTGCACTTGGGGGCAAACCCCACCCTGGCCCAGCCCCCTCCAAGAGTCAGTCACTTGACCCTCCAACAGTGGGTGCCCCCGCTGCCCACCCCAAAGAACCTCTCTTCTCCTCCAGGGTTTCTTGGAGGGGCTGGGGCTAACTACCCACGGATTCACCCTGAGGGCCTGGGCCCATGGCGCTGCAAGGACCCCGCGCGTGGGAACCGGGCCCGAGACCCAGGTGAGGAGGCCCCGCGCAGGGCTGCGCCCCTCCCTTCCCCCTCTCGTCCACTCCCCTCCCTCAGGCCACACGGGCTGCACCATCCAGACGGAGCTGGCAGGCAGGTCACCCGGGGCCCAGCCACCCAGACAGCGGCGCACGACAGTGGCGTTTCAGGGACGGCCTGGGACGCGGCCACACCCCCGAGGGGCACTGGGGCCCCACCGGGGCTCACACGCTCTGGACTTCAGTGTCCCCACCTGTCAACGGGGCGATTGGCAGCACCCGGCATGGAGCTCAGGGCGCTGCCAGGTGGGAGCCGGGCAGACCACGGGCCCCAGGGGCGCTGACGAGTGAGTCCTCTTGTCCAAATATAAGGGGTTTATTCTCTTCTGTGGTCAGGAGAACAAAATACAAAATAGAAAGGCTGTCCCTTCCCGCCCCTCCCCCCAGTCCCTCAGCGTGGACGGCGGCGAGGTCGTCCAGGCAGGGCTGCCGTCCTCTCCTGGCCTCAGGCCTCGAACATGGCGCAGCTGGCGCACAGCACTTTCTCGTGGAGGTCACTGCAGCTGCGACACCGCGAGGTTGGGGGAGAGGAGCTGGCATTAGGGCTGAGTTCCACGGGAGCTGCCGACCCCACCTGGTCCCTCGACTTTATCTGGAGGCGGGGCTGTTGGCCCAGACAGAACCAGTTAAGAAGAGGCCCCACTGCCGCAGGGGGCCAGGCCCACAGGGCCGGGTCCTTGGAGAAGGACACCCGCAGAGGGGGGCGGTTCGAGGGTCCGGGGAGAGGCTGCAGCACGGAACCCGTGGAGTGCGAGACTCCAGGAGCAGACCCCCGCGGCCTCCCTAGAACCAGCCCCCCCGACAGGTATCTGCCTCGAGCACAAGGGTAAACGTCTGGGGTGCTTGCTGAAGCCGCCCTCACAGACTGACAGCTAAGGAGCCCCCGGGGCTCAGCCCAGGTCTCACGGCGGCCAGGTGTGCAGTAGGGTTGACTGGCCCCGGATGGCTCACAGGGGCAGCAGCTCAGGTAGGGTAGGGACATGGCAACTCAGCGAATGGCAGGGGACACGCGTCGGGAGACATGCTGAAAGGAGACGGCAGCACGCCTGAGGTGCAGCGGCAAAGGGTCCACATCCAGGGCTAGGAGCTTGGCTCCAGCTCCTGGCGGCGATGCCCCACCCGCGGCCGTGCCTGACCCTGGGGACGAGGCAGCCAGGTGCGGGCAGGATGCCCGCTTCCAGGGTGGCGCTGAAGCTCGGAGGCCTGAGGCGTGGCCTCCAGAGGGGACCCCGAACGTGTCGTCTGTTTCTCACCGGGGTCAGAGAGCCCCGCCCGCCGGGGCCCGAGAAACAGGCAGGTGCGCGGCGGGCTCTGCGGGCGCTTGGGGGCCAGGCAGCAGACAGCAGGGGGCGGGGGGGGAGGCTGCCACGGGAGTCCCTGAGGATGCGGACGGCCCCGGGGAGGGAAGCAGCTGCCAGTAGGTGGGGCGCCCACTTGGCCCCTCAGCTGGCCCGTGTGCTGTGCTCAGCTCCCCCTCCAGGGAAAAGCCACTGGCAAGGCCCTGCCCGTCTCAGCTTACATATAAATAGGAAGAAAAGAAAAACTGAGTTGGCAAAATCAATAGAAAGAGTATTCCACACTCATGACTCGCCCAGCACCTGACCCCTGAACTGGCCAGCACGGGAGGCCCACGCCTGGCCTCCGTCCTTCTGTCCAGCGCGTCCCAACCGTGGAGCAACCCACCTCTCGGGAGGCGTGTTTTTAACTTTCCACGGTTGGGGTTGGTTTTTTTTTTTTTTTTTTGGCGGTGGCGGGGTGAGTTGGTTTTAAAGGCCATTGGGACTAAACTGGTTTGAGATCTGCAGAACTTTTCTTACGGGGCACTGCCCATCCCCACCCGTCAGCCGGGAGTGGCCGCTGGGACGAGGACAGCACCCGAAACCTCCCGGGCAGGGATGGGGTCCACCGGCTGTGGCGGACACGCTCACCCAAGCCACAGACAAACGCTTGTTTTCTGCCCTCACCTGTCAGGTGTCCTCCGCTAATGAGCGCGCTACACAGGAAGGCCACGTGAGGCTTCCTGATGGCAGGGCTCAAAGGACTAGAGCACAAATGGTCTGGGACAGACCACAGACAGCGCAGAGCTGACCTACAAGGTCTGGACTTCCTCCAGAAAGGATCTCAAGGTCTTGGAAAAACTCAAGCTGAGCAAAGCATTTACTGGCATCACATCGTCCCACCGGGCAATGTGGGATGGGCCTGCCGCCCCCACTCCCCGACAGGGCCCGCACTCACTCCACGAGGGCACACAGGGCGCAGGCCACTGCCCCACAGCTGCAGCAGGTGCGCACGCAGCGCCCGCACAGGGCCCGCTCGCACTGGCCGCACGCCGCCTTCCCGTCCACAGCCCGCACACACGACGAGCAGGCTCCCGATGCCGCCATGGCTGGGTCTGTGGGGAAGAGACACCCATCAGCCCAAAGGGGACCTGGAGCGCTGGGGCTGGGGGCCATCCTCCCTCCTGCGCCTGACTGACCACTAGGTCCTAAGACGATAACCTGTGCATAAGCACAGCACCCAGACCTGTTCACCAGGGAGAGATCCCAGCTGGCTTCCGTGACTCCCACCTACAATTCCCACCACCCAAATGTCGGTACCTAAGGGTCAGCCCTTCTCCTGACCGCCTGCATCAGAAGTCGCTAGGCCTTCGTCCCTTGTGTGTCTCACAGCTGCGTCTCACAGGGGTCCCTTTGCCCCACCCAGACCCGGGGGCGGGAGAGTTTTTAACCAGCGACACAGGTGACAGTCTGAGACGCACACCACACTGCACAGGGACCCGAACAGGCTTTTCCCACCCAGCCAGGTGGGACTCTGTGGGAGAGCTTCAGGTGGAAAGCAGGCAGGACACCCAGAAGGGTCACCCAGAGGGGTCTCTGTTCCTTTCTGATCCAACAGTTAGAAGCTGTTTGCAGCTACCAGATGTGGATGTTGGTGACAGCAGAGCCTCCTAATGTCAGGAGCCTGCAGGCCCTCGCCCTGTTCATACTGTCAGACTCGGGCCCGGCCCCCTCCAGCCCAGGTAGGAAGAGCCCCTGCCACATCCCGTCCTTAGCACACAGCTGGGAAGCGCCTGCCGTGGGCCTCACTCACCAGCTTCGGAGGCCCGGGCTCGACTCCTGGTCAGTCGGCCGTCGGGCCCGATCAGCATCTGCCCGCGCGCGGCCCGCGGGGCGTCGGTGGGGCCAGGCTTCGGGGACTCCGGGGTGTCGACGATGGCACAGCCTTCCTCCCACGCGGGGTCCATGCAGGCCTGGGCCCCGCGGAAGAGGAGCTGCGTGGTCTTTTCTGCGGAGGCAACCATTTCCCCGCTTATACCGCTGCAGCACGGAAGCACCTGCATGGCCACCTTGTCCCTCGAGCTGCGCGTGGCCGGGCCTCTGGTTACCCAGCCACCCCAGAGCACGCTGCTCCCTGGTGAGCTGGGTCCCACCCTGACCTCCTGCCTGGGCTCAGCGGCCACCTCCTCCAGGAAGGTTCTGGACCCTGCAGCCCCACCTGGGCTCCCTGTGCTATCACTCTGCTCATTTTCCACACGTGTGGCCTCACCTCCTTGCCGTTCGTCTCCTCCCCAGCACCCACAAGCCGGCTTTATCCAGCAGACGAAGCTCTGCGCTGTGGAGTGCTAACTAACGCACAGCCAGAGACTCAGAGCTGAGCCCACACCCCAGGCCAGCACGCACCCCTTCACTTACCACGGAGCTGCTAGCAGAAGGCATGGCAGCAACCAGCTCCGAACAAGGTACCCCAGAACTTTCCAGAACTCTGTGGGCCCTGGATACCCCCCCCCCCGACCCCAGAGCTGAGGTGGTTTCTCAGCAACCAGAGCAGTGGCTTTCCATCAGGGCACTGGGGGCTTTCACAAGGTCAAATGCCAGGCGCCAGCCCCAGAAATGCTTTGTTTGTGGTGTTCTGCCCTGTCCCAACAGAGCCAGGGTGGAGACCTTAGAAGCTGTTGGTGCTAAGTGAAACCGACAGAAACACACAGTTGGGTAACTCAAATGGAGTGGCTGCTGACAGCCCCGTCACACCCAGTTCCTCCTCCTCCAATCCCCCCCACCCCCACTTATAATAGGGTGGGACTCGGGGGAGGTCACGTGGTGAGGCTAAGACTTGTCTCCAAGGGCCTGTGGTCCGTTCAAGATAAAGAGACCAGGATTCAGGCTTGGAATTCATTACACACGAGCTCACGCTGGCCTATGTCCTGCCCTTCTTAGATGCCCAGGGAGCCTCGCACTCCCTCTGTGACGGGGCCCTGCGGAGGACAAGCCCCTGCAAATGCTCCAGAACATCGTGGTCAAGAGCTAGACTGACTTAGCCCCCATTTATTTTTAATTCTTCTGTCTGCAGTGTGTACATTTTTTGAAGGTCCTGAGAGGATAACACTTGCAGTCTGGCCATAGTACTCACAGCTTCACTCACTTTTATCACCCGCACGGCCTCGAAAGGCATTTGCATTTGCGACCCTGCGTGCGCAAGAACAGAAAGGGCACAGCAGCGGCTGGGGAGCAGCAGGACAAAGAGAAGCAGGGTCTCCCCAGGCTAGGCGCCTCCCCACAGCCCTAGTGCACGGCAGCACCACTCAGTCACAGACACCCAGGTAACCATCTGACTGTTCCACACGCACAAACCTCGTGCCTCCAGCCACTAGTTAAGGTGAATTCCGCTCTGTAGTTACCCCAGGGTATTAACCCCACCAAAGCGATGATCAATAATATCAATGCGCCCAAAAACCTGCATGAAGAAGCCAGTGTCCTTACATCTCTGGAACTGGACACTCCAGCCACAATGAACCGGACAGCACTCTCCGGCTTCCCGGCTTTTGCATAGGTTGTTCCCTCTGCCTGGAATTCCCTTCCTCTCCCTCTCTGCCTGCCTAACCCTGAAGGATTCGCCTTCGACCCTGTTCCTCCACGAGACCTCTGACAGCCTGCAGGTGGTCCTGCAGCGACCCCTGCCTGCCCTGATGACCTCTGGAGAGTCCTTCTCTGGCTGGCCCCCCAGTAGGCAGCAAGGCAGGGTCTCCCGCAGCCGCAGCTCCTGGCAAGGAAGGCGCGCTCCACAAACGCCTCTCGGGTCAGAACGGGTGCTTCTACCGGCTTATTCCACAGGGACATCCCACTCCCCGGCCTCTCGCTGGGCTGGTCAGGCCAGGGCTGGCTCCTGCGCGAGTCCAGCATTCCCAAAGGACAGAGCCACGCCTCGGCCCCACGCGGAGGCCGCCTGTTTCGGGAAGGTGGAGGGCGGGTACAGGTCGTGGACGCGGGCGCATTCACAGCGCCCAAATTGCTGCTCCCAAACCCGGCCGGGCGGCTGGCCCCGGCCCCCGGCTCCAGGGCGCGCGGCCTGCGGAAACCGCCTGCCCGACCCCGCTACCCCTCACTCACCGAAGATCTCCCGCGTGAGGCGCTCGGCGCACACGCCGCGACTCAGCTCCCTCCGGCCCACACGCACCTTGAGCTGCAGCGGGGCCGCGTCCGCGAAGGGGCAGCCCCGCTTGGGCATGGCCGCGGCCCTCAGCGGCGCAGCTCCGCGGCCGCGCCTCGCCTGCCCGTGACGTCACAGCCGTGCGCCAACCCCTGCGCGGGCGGGGGCGGGGCTGCTGCGCGGCGCGACGCGGGATAGGCCCGGGAAGAGGGCGGGGAGGGGCGGGGCTGCTGCACGGCGCGACGCGGGATAGGCCCGGGGAGGGGGCGGGGCTCGTGTGCCGGGAGGCGGGACTCGGAGACGCGGGAAAGTCCGGGAGAGGTCAAGGGTCGGAGTGGGCGCCCCGGGGGCGGGGAAGCGGGAGGGCGGTGTGGTGCGCACGCGCCGCAGGATGGGCGGGAGGCGACATCGGGGGCGGGACTCGTGTGAGGGGTGGCTCGTGATAGGTCGGAGGCGACATGTGGGAGGGACTCGTACGAGGAGGTGCGGAAGGGAAGGGCGTCTCGGCTGTTTTGTTTTTTTTTTGCGGTACGCGGGCCTCTCACTGTTGTGGCCTCTCCCGTTGCGGAGCACAGGCTCCGGACGCGCAGGCTCAGCGGCCACGGCCCACGGGCCCAGCCGCTCCGCGGCATGTGGGATCTTCCCGGACCGGGGCACGAACCCGTGTCCCCTGCATCGGCAGGTGGACTCTCAACCACTGCGCCACCAGGGAAGCCCTCGGCTGTTTTAAATTTTGCTCCCCAAACAACTCTCGAAACTGGTTATACTTCTCCGTTTAAATCACCAAAAGTTCGCGGATCATTCACTTTTCTGTAATTCTTAATTTGGAGGACTGCCCCGCCCTCACAAGTGGAGAGTGCCGCATGAACGCACTGGATACACGTCACGGGCCGGGTTTCGGGCCCTGCTGCGTCATGCGGGGCAGGCCTGACGTAATGTCGGGCTCTGACAGAGCCGTGCGGCTCCGGCCCCACCTCGGCCTCTGCCGGCCGCCTACCCGCCCGACCCTCGTCCTGTCCGCTGCCCCCGGGGTCGTCCAGCCCGTTCCTCTGTCGCCTGGATTTCCGCTGACAAGCCGAGGGCCTCCGTCTTACAGGCCACGCCCCACGCGACACACCCCTCACGTGACACCACCCCCACGTGATGCACATCACAGCCCAGGACACCCGCAGGGATGGGGCAGGGCCAGCCTCCTGTCCACCTGCCCGTTCCCGCCAAGCATGGCGGCTCTAGGGAGACCAGGCCGAAAGTGGGGCTTCGGCCAGCGTTTCTCCTGTTGCGTGACCGCATGATCGGGTACTATACCCGTTAGCGGTCTGCAGTCACTGTGACAAAAAGACGCTTGACTGGTTTTATCCCAGAAATAGATGAAATTCCCAGGAGTATTGTTTTTAATCTTACAGGTCTTGGGAATTTTAAAAGACTTCTTTGCGTTCGGATTTGAAACTGCCTTAGGATCGTTTAAGACACAGTAGATAGATGCAAAACATTGTGATTAAAGGAGGATCTTGTTAGCTCTTCTATTTCAACCTAATTTTAATTTAAGAAATATTTGTTGAAGGCCCAGTCAGTGCTGGATTAGTTTTCTAGAGGTGCCGTAACAAAGCACTCAGGCTGAGGGCTTAAACAATAGACATTTATTCTCTTACAGTTCTGGAAGTTGGAAGTCCAAGATCAAGGTGTGTGCAGAGCTGGTCTCTCCTTGGCCTGCAGACAGCCGTCTTCTCCCTGTGCTCACGTGGTGGTCCCTCTGTGTCCTAAGGCCAACCCATATGACCTCTTTAAAACTTAATTACCTCCTGGTTCCTCAAAAAGTTGAAAATAGAACTGCAATGTGATCCAGCAATGCCGCTTCTGTGTATACAAAGGAATTGAAATCATTATCTTGAAGCGCTATCTGCACCATGTTCCCTGCAGCATTTTTACAATGGCCAAGACATGGAAACAACCTAAGTGTTCATCAATGGATGAGTGGATAAAGAAAATGTGATATTTGGAATATACATATAATGAAATATTATTCAGCCATAGAAAAGAAGGCCATTCTGCCAGTTGCAATAACGTGAATGAATCTGGAGGACATTTTGCTAACTGAAATAAGTCAGAGAAAGAGAAATACAGTACTGTATGATATCACTTATATGTGGAATCCAAAATCATCAAACTTGGGACTTCCCTGGTGGTCCAGTGCATAAGACTCTGTGCTCCCAATGCAGCGGGCCTGGGTTTAATCCCTCGTCGGGGAACTAGATCCCACGTGCACGCCGCAACTAAGAAGTCCGCATGTGGCAACGAAGATCTCGCATGCCGCAACTAAGACCCAGCGCAGCCTAAGTAAGTAAGTAAATAAATAAATATTAACCAAAAAAAAAATCATCGAACTCATAGAAACAGAGTAGAATGGTGGTTGCCAGGGGCTGGGCTTGGGGGAAATGGGGAGCTGTTGGTTAAAGGGTACAAACTTCCAGTTATATGGTAGATAAGTTCCAGGGATCTAATGTACAGCTCAGTGACTATAGTTAGCAAGTATTGTGTACGTGCAGGTTGCTAAGAGTAGATCTTAACTGTTTTCACCATAACAACAACAACGACGACAAAATGGTGATTATATGAGGTGAAGGATGTATTATCTAACCTTATTATGGCTTGCAATATGTATGTGTGTGAAATCATCACACTGTACACCTTAATGTTGTAAAAATTAAGAAAGAGAAACCTCCTTTAAAATGGAGTCAGAGGGAATTCCCTGGCGGTCCAGTAGTTAGGGCTTCGCACTTTCACTGCAGAGGGCTTGGGTTCAATCCCTGGTCGGGGAACTAAGATCCTGCAAGCCGCATGGTGTGGCCAAAAAAAAAAAAAAGAGTCAGGAGGCCAGAAGAGGGAGCAAGCATGCCCTACTGAACTACATTAATTGCAGACCCAATAGAAAAAGAGTACCTTGCATCTACAAAGAAGAAGATTACTACTTGACTACCCAGCAGGAGGAAGAATTTCTCCTTGCCCGACAACAGCCCAGCCAATAAGAGTCTGTCACAACTCAGCCAATGAAAGACCACTTACATGTCAAACTCCCAGTTTCCACCAATGGGTTCTTTGCTCAGACTAGCCCCTTCCATCTCCTCCTTCTCAAGAGTTTTCCCTCCTTTGTTCTCCAGACTTGCCTGTGGTTAGCCATAGATTACACGTCCCGAATTGCAATTTTTTGCCGTTCCCAAATAAACCCATTTTGATGGTCTCTTTTATTGTTTTAGTCAACAGTGTACAATTAAGGTGTACATTATATGTCAATTATATGTTCTATATCAATTATATCTAAATATATGTCAGTTATACCTCAATAAAGCTCCGGAAAAAATGACCTCTTCAAAGTCCCTACCTCCAAATACAGTCCCATTCGGAGGTACTGGGAGTTGAGGCACCAACATGTGAAGTTTAGGGGAACACAATTCAGCCCTTAATAGATACCGCGCTCTGTGCTAGGCCCTTAGGGGTGGTGTGGAGCAGAGCCAGCGGGGTCCCTGCCCTCTGGTGGGACAAATGTCACAAAAGGGGAAGGACGGGAGCTGTGGAAGCAGAGTAAGGAGAACTGCCTTGCCCGGGGCGGGGTGATATCCCAGGAAAACCGAACTCATGCAAAGCATTTGCGGAATGGCATAATTTGACCTTAGAAAGTTGGACATTCTGGAAGTGAATATGTGTCAGATGAGGAAGGAACACGCTTTCTGTTTTCCCACGAGAAGTGCAGCAAACTTCCCCTCCAACAAATGCACAGTGGGTAAGGCCGGCAGGAAACGTATTCATTAATGTGCTTCATCAAAGTTGCCTCGGGGTCCTAAAATTGTGAGTAATTGTCATCTCAGTTATGTAAGATGGTTGTATGGTTACTTTGAGTAACTTTTAGATTGGGGTATAATTTACTTACAGCGCGGTCGTGTGTATTTCCACCAGTGGACTGCCCAGATGGTAAATGTATACAATTCTGCCAGTTACGATGACCCCGTCGCCCCTCCCCCGCCCCGGGCAGAAGTGACCATTGCTCTGTTTTCATCCCTACAGGGACGCTGCCGTCCTAGAACCTCACAGGCTCGGTCTTATTCTGCACGTGCACCTTTGTGTCTGGCTTTTTCCCTCAGTTCGCTCCGAGACCGGCCACCATCCTGCACTCCTCAGTGGTCCATTCCTTTTGTTGCTGAGTGTATTCCGTGTGCGGATGGACCACAGTTTGTTCACCTGTCAACTGACACCTGGGCTGTGCCAGGTTTTGGCTCTGATGAGGGCAGCTGCTCTGAACGTTCTCGTCTAAGGCTTTTTCTGTACATTCGTGGTCATTTGTTGTGGGTCAGTGCCTAGGAGTGGAATGGCTATCTGATGGTAGGGTAGATGAATGTTAAACTTCTGAGCAAACCAGCAGCTTTCCAAAGTATTTGGGAAAACACTTTTTTGTTGTTTTTGTTTTTTTTACATTTTGGCTGCACCCCGCGGCATATGGGATCTTAGTTCCCTGACCAGGGGTCGAACCCTTGCCGCCTGCAGTGGAAGCACAGAGTCTTAACCACTGGACCGCCAGGGAAGTCCCTGGAAAAACACGTTTTATCAAACAACGTTATCAAATCGCTTACTTGTCTTTTATCCATGTATTGACCTGAGACCACTGTGAGCTCGTATACAATGGGGCTGTGTTATTGGTGCAAAGAAGAGAGAGCACCTTATTATAATTACTCAGACCCTCACAACATCTGATACTGAGAAAAAGGGGGCTGTGTGTTCTAACCCAACCCAGAGGACAGAGCCTCCCATCCCTGGGCCACACGGGAGTGAGGAAGCTGGGGCCGGGGAAGAATGATTTCCCCTCCAAACTGGTGTCTTTTCACCTTGTGTAACACCTGCAGATACTCAAAGACATCGCCTGGGGCTGCCTCCCCAAGATTTTGTCCAGAGATCAAAGGAAAGGACAACTCGTATTCGGGTGGAGAATTTAGCAGCTACTACGTAATATACGGCTTTGTGCAGCTTTGTCATTTATGCAGGTTGAGCTTGCCAAGCCAGGGATGCAGCTTTTCATGCAGAATGAAATGATTTCTTTGGAAAATGCCTACTCTGGTTGATGGCCCAAAGCGTGCATCCCTCTGTCATAGCAGGATGGTCATCTGGTCAGGAGAAGCACAGTATCCCCGGGGGCAGGGAGAAGAGCTGGGGCCCACCTCCTCTTTCCTTAAGAACTCACCCTGCCTTCGGCCTCTCCCTTCGCCCCTCTTGCTCTGTCGAGGAAGGAAATAATTCTTGGGAAACGCCAAGATGAGCTTCTGCTGGCGCTTCTCACCTGTAGCCCTGCTGCCCGAGGAAGCTGGTCCGCACGCATGCCCCTGACATCTTTCAGACCACTGAAGGCTGTTCTCGGCACTGTTTGGAAAAGTTCGCTAGCAGGTGTGGAGCCACACACCCGATCTGTGGCCCTTTCACCCAACATGCTGTCACATGAGTTTGGGACCCCGTGGTGCAAGCCAGTGACACCGGACCCTGCGGAACTGCCCGGGGCCGGCAGGGCCCATGGGAAGCAAGCTGAGTTGGCAGCGGCCCAATGTCAGTGAACCCAGCTGGCATCCTCAGCTCTAAAAAGCTAGGATTTAGGGCTTCCCTGGTGGCGCAGTGGTTAAGAATCCACCTGCCAACCCAGGAGACACAAGTTCGAGCCCTGGTCTGGGAAGATCCCACATGCCGCAGAGCAACTAAGCCCGTGAGCCACAACTACTGAAGCCCACGTGCCTAGAGCCAACGCTTCGCAACAAGAGAACCCACCGCAATGAGAAGCCCGTGCACCGCAACAAAGAGTAACCCCCGATCGCCACAACTAGAGAAAGCCTGCGCGCAGCAATGAAGACCCAATGCAGCCAAAAATAAATAAATAAATAGTTAAAAAAAAAAACCACCTAGGATTTAAGCCCGGCAGACTCTAGGTCTCTCCATATGTATAATCCCTCCCCTCTCTGAAATGATACCAAAAGACCTGCTATTTTTCTAAACTTACCCCAAACTGTGAAGGGTTAAGGAAGCTACCACTCGGCTTCCGGTTGAGCAGAGACTACAGCAGGCTCTTTGCAGCTTCAGCCAGTTGAGAAGTGGCTTCCTAGCCCAGGGGACTCAAGAGGGATGGGGCCAGTGGCTGTTCCACCGAAATGGAGGGCACTGATGGTTGCGGGGAAGGGCTCGGGGTGCTAGGGTGAATCTGTTGAAGTGTTTAGTTCTGGAAAACCTGTTTAATGCCCGTGGTCTCTCTTCCCTGGGCTGGTTGCATTTTGTGGTCTGAGCAAACTCACGGCTTGGCTTCGTGACACGAAAATGTGTGTCAGGGCTTCCCTGGTGGTGCAGTGGTTAAGAATCCGCCTGCCAACCCAGGGGACACAAGTTCGAGCCCTGGTCTGGGAAGATCCCACATGCCGCGGAGCAACTAAGCCTGTGCGCCACAGCTACTGAGCCTGTGCTCTAGAGCCCGTGCACCACAACTACTGAGCCCGTGTGCCTGTGCTCCGCAACAAGAGAAGCCACCGCGATGACGGGCCCGCGCACCGCGACGAAGAGTAGCCCCCACTCGCCACAACTAGAGGAAGGCCGCGCACAGCAACGAAGACCCAACGCAGCCAAAAATAAATAAATAAATCTATTAAAAAGCAAAAGAAAATGTGTGTCACCCAGACTGCTGATGTGGCAAAGTGGCGCCTTCCAGCGTTTAAAAGTCAAAATGACGACGACAGAGTCAGAACAAAACATGCACTGCTCACTACCGTTCAGCGGCAGTCGGATTTGTTTATTACTAAATGGCTCCAACCGGGCATACAACCATGTGACAATTCACGTGCCATAAAAGGTCTCTGTTTTGAGCGCTTCGGCTCACTGGAAATAGCAGATTTTAAAATGTACCCAACACTGGTTTTCAGATGTTTCAAGTTGTAGAAATCAGTGGGTGGAGCTGAAGGCTTAAAGAAAAATATAAAAGTACAGAAAATGGTTTTCAAATCTCTTTGTCTGCGGCGTTGGTTCTGCTGGCTGGGGAAAGGACGCTACTGTGGCCACTGGCGTGGGCGTGGCCTGCCGGGATCAGCTCTGTCTTGGTCTAAAACAGCTGGATCATCGAATCTCTGGATTTGCCAACACCAACCCATTTCACTGAAACGGAAAGGGGAGGTTCAGCCCAGGGCACGGCGGGGAGAGGGGGCAGCCAGGGCTCAGGGCACCCACCTGCCACTCCAACGTGGTTCTCCACAAACCGGATATAGCTCTGGGCCTGTGGGGGCAGGTCCTCCCACTTCCTGGCGCCCGTAGTGTCCGCCTTCCACCCAGGCAGCGTCTCATACTCCACCTCCACCTTCTGCAGAATCTCCTGGTTGGCTGGGGACACACAGGGCGGGGGTGAACCACGTGCTGTGGACAGTTGCTCGGCCACGGGGCCGGGACCCCCAGCCTGGGGTCCGCTTGCCCCGGGGCTCAGAGGCGGGAAAGGCAAGCCGCCCTGCTTGGTTTACTCAGGGGGTGGGGGTGGTTCTCGGACACTGGCTGTACCCCTTCCAGCCCAGGGGACATGCCACCCTGGACACGGATTCACTACGCGCTCTGCTGCAACGTCCACAGCGATCATCAGAGGAACTCTGAGGCCCCCGCTTGGAAATTCTAAGGGGATCTAGGGTCCTGAAGTGTCAAGAGGTCCTAAAGGATCTATAGCCCCCTCCTCAGGGCAGGGACCCCACTTGGTGGGGCCTCCAGGGCTACAGCAGACACCAACCACCCCTTATCGTCAGAAGATGCTGCAAGGGGCCGTCCACTGCAAGGGCCCTGGATGCACTCCAAGTTCGAATGCTCCCCTGAGCCCTCTCGAAGCTCAGGGTCAGTAGGGCTGGCGCACACTGGCCGAGAGGACGCACGGGGCTCCCACAGCCGCCGGTGCTGGCGGGTGTACACACGTGCTGGGGGTGGGGCAGCGGGGGTCAGCTCGCCCATGGCCACTGGTGAGGGTGGGGTCACGTGTCCCCGGTGCAGATGCACAAGTAACTGTGACCCCAGGAAAACAGCACTGCCTTTATGCTTTTTAAAAGAAAGGATGCTTCCTTGGTTACAGAAACTCCAGTTAGAACCTTAAGGAGTCTAACCAAAAATGTATGTTTTCTTAGGTCAAAGTCGTCTTCCTATTTGCCCAGAGCTTTGAGCGTCCAGACCTGACGTCGGGTATTTCAGGTGAGTCCCCAGCTACCGGGAGGTGGGCCTTGACCCCAGGCTCCTGAGGGTCCCCCAGGCTCCCGGGGTCAGGCCGGTCCCTCTGAGCCCTTCCCAGACCATGGATGCCTGGCAACTGCCCCAAGGCCCGGCCAGGCCTCCCATCGGGGTGAGACCCTGCCACAGACAGAATCGGGATGAGTCTCCCAGACACGCACTGACCCCGCGTGTTCAACACGTACACCCTGTCCCCTCGCCCCAGAAACCACGGGTCACGTCTGTTCCCAGGTCCCGCGAGACAGGCCAAGGACAGGAAAGCCGCCGTGCTCGCACCTGGGAAGTAGGGGATCCGCTTCCCGCTGAGCCTGTACGCGATGCCGACTTTAATCTCGTCCAGGACGTCCAGGATGTCCAGCTTCGTTAAGGCCAGCCTGTCCAAAACCACAGCGAGAAGCCAAGCGGCGCTCAGCTACGCCGTCATTTCTCCTGTCGGGCTCCACCCCTCGCTTCTCCTCTACTTGCCAGGAATCGAGAGGAGGATGGAAAAGGCCGCCTATGGCCAGGCTGGAACCCAGCTCCAGCCACCTGGCCCACCTGGCCCTGAGCACCCCATGGGGACCCCGATCTGGTGGCCTTGTCCTTTCTGCCCTTCTCACGGCCGCGTTGAGGGTCTGGGCATGTGAGCCTTGTGCCCGTCCACGCCCCTCTGACCCGGGAGACCCCGAGCCTGGGCCGAGACCACCGGTGCCCGTGACGTCGTCCACCCCTGAGGGTCTCCCGCACCGTCCGCCCAGGGCCAGGGAGCCCGGGCTTCATGCAAGTTTCTCCCTTTCCTTTCCTCATCTCTGCACGGCCAGGCCTCAAGGGCCTCTGGGTGGGTGTCCCTGGGCTTCCCGAGCCCACGTGGGCCACCGTGTGCAGCGCCACTGCCCTGACCCGGGCTGGGCTGTTACCCTCGGGGCCCCGGGAGGCTGCATCTCCCCGCTTTGCACACAAGGACTGCGGGCCGGGGGCCTCGGACGCCATGTCCTCGGCCACTTCGTCCCTGTGCCTCCCGCGGACGGACGGCCCACACACACCGAGCGCGGCTGTGGTTAACTCGTGGGCCGTGCGCTGTGACAAGCGTGCACCTCGCACCCTGGCCCGTCTTTCTGGGGAGGAAGCAGGAAGTCCTCCGTTCGCATGAAGCCCCTCATTTCCCAGGGCAAGGTCTGAGCCGCCGGAAACACAACCATCACCAAGAGCAGCCCGGCTGCCTGGCTGGTCTCGGGGGCACTGTGGGGGGCCCGCCCTGCCCCCTGGGGGTACTGCTTCAGAGGAGGGGGGCTCCTGCTCCCGGCCCCCTCGGGGTCATCTTCCTGTCCACAGCCTCACAGACCGGGGCCCCAGAGCGGGGGGGACCTGCGGAGGCCCCCGAGGGGCTGTAAACCCAGCTGGCCGCTCTCCAGGACCAGTGCAGGCTGCGTCCCCACGGCCGCCTCTCTGCGGGGTCTCGCAAGCTTCAAGCGTCGCCTCTCCTGCCGGGGGTTTGTTCTGCCCCCTTCTTAGGAGCCCAGTGTCACCCTGGGGGTTTGGGGGAAGTGAAGTGATGGCGTTTGCCGCTGGCACAGCTCGTGTGGGAGCCCCAGCCCTGTCTGTGCTCAGGAGGAGATGCACGGCTGGCCGCAGGGCCAGCTCCAAGGTGCCCCGCGTGGGCCTCCACGTCACCCCACTGTGGCCACGCCGTGGAGAAGGGTCTCCCTCGGGTGACATCACCCTGCGTGGGGAGATGGTGGCCCTGAGCCCCGAGGCCCAGCTCCCCTGCTCCCATCATGTCTGGGGACTCAGGGTCGGACCCCGGGGGGGGCTCAGTAGCAGATGTGCCGGAAGTGCCACTTACGCGGTGAATCCGTTGACCATGTGGGCGTATCTGAGGGTCATCAGGTCCAGCCAGCCACAGCGCCTCTTCCTGCCTGTGGTCACGCCCCACTCGTGGCCGCGGCTCTGCAGCAGGTCACCGATCTCCTGCGTGGGGACAGACAGGGCCCCGGTGCCACGGGAAAGGGAGCATGCGCCCGGCTGCCTGGCGCTCACAGCGCCTCCCCTGCCCTCCCCTCCGACCCCCCTGCAGCCCCTGACGATAACCCCCCCTCACGCCTGCTTCCCTGGTCCCCGGCACACCTGCCCCACCTGAGGCCCCCACAGGTAGGGCCGCGCTGACCAGCACCTACTCCTTGGGCCTCGTGGGCAGGTGAGGGTGGATGGACCTGGCCCTGCAGCTGAGCATCGGGCAGGTGTGTGTTTATTTCTCAGGGGTCCTATCCCTGTCCCTGCGCCTCATTCAAGCCCCTTCCCACTCTGGCTCTCAGACATCTGCCCAGGACAAGAGTCTCGGGTGCTCGCCGGCCATGAGGGCACAAGGCCAGGTGAGAGGAAGGCCGACGGTGTCCTGAGCTTCCAGAAACACCCACGAGGCTGGAGAGCAGCTTGCTGGGCGGGGTGGGGGCGGTGCTTCTGGCCCTGCTCTAGCTTGGCTGAGACCAAACCCAGGCGGGCTCAGGCCCCCAAGGACGAAGGTGGCCTGTGTCCCTGAGAATGGAGCAGAGACACAGCTCTCGGTGCCCTTCCCGAGCCGAGGGGCTCCACTGTGTACGGCCACGGTGCGGCAGCGTCCTGCACCTCATTAGCCTCCCCAGGCCCCTCCACCAGGTGCCCACGCAGTCCCGCGGGGCTGGGGACTCACGTTGATCTGCTCGGTGGGGAAGGCGCCGATGCCCACGCGTGTGGTGTAGGCCTTCACCACGCCGTAGACCTCGCCTATGTTCTGGGGGGGGATGCCCAGGCCGGTGCATACGCCGCCCACCGTGCAGTTGGATGACGTCACAAAGGGGTAGGTCCCTGTGAGACAGCCAGTCAGGCCCCCACCCCGCAGATCACCTGGGCCCAGGGGTCCCCCTTGGCAGGGTCTCCGGGGGGATCATCCCGGGGGAGTGGCCGGCACAGGGCGCGGTGGGTATGAGCTGGGGGGGGAGGGGAGGGAGAGGGTCGCTCGGGTTTGGACAGTGCGTGCCTCCCCTGCCTGCGCCTTGCGGCCTCGGTGCTGGTGTGTCCCTGGGTCAGGGACAGGGTGGACAGAGGCCCACGTGGGGCAGTTGAGGCCCCGCCGGTCTCTCTCGCCCTCCCTCCCTCCCCTCCAGCCCAGCTTCTCCCTTCTCCTCTCTCGGCTGAAGTTAGGGAAACGAGGGCGGTACGTTTCCTGGGCACGGCCGGCAGTGCGGCCGTGGAGGGAGGCCGCACCACGCCTGTCTCTGAAAGGCGGGGTTTGTGGGGAAGTGGCCGGGACGTACCGAAGTCAATGTCGAGGAGGGCTGCGTTGGCGCCTTCCACGAGGATCTTCTTGGGGGCGCCGTGGAGCGCCTCGTACATGAAGTAAACGCCGTCTCGGACCATGGGTCGGATCCGCTCAGCGAAGCCCTGGGGAAAGGGGGAAGATGCAGGAACTAGGGTGTCCACCCAGCTCTGGCCTCCTCCCCACAGCCTCCCTTTTCCAGCAAATTCCCGCCCAGCGAGGGGCTTGGTCTGCAGGTGTCCCCGCTCGTCCCGCCCTGTCACATTTACAGCCCCAGACGAGAGTGGAGGAGCTGGGGTCCCAGCCCTGGAAACTTCCAGAAGGGCTCTGCGCTGACATCCTCCTGTCTCCCGCCTGCCCCTGCCCCAGACAGACAGGGTCGGCCTCTGTCCCCCAGCACATCTGGGGCAGTTTCCTCAGAGAGGAGGCGAGGGCCCAGGCCAGCAGGTGAGTCCCCGGTCTGCAGAGAAGACCGCCATGAGCACGGCTGGCCAGGAGGCGCCCACGGGAGGCCCGCAGCCCCAAGCCCAGGCGACCTGTGATAACGCGACAGGTGCACTGCACGAATGTGCACGGACGGTCAGTGGGACGCGGACCCTCGGCGGGGTCGGCCCTGATGCCGAGGTGCCCGGCTGTACCTTCAGCCTTTTGAGTTGACCTTCAACGTCTATTTCCAAAGTGGGGAACATGGACTGGTGCTGATGGGCCAGATTCTTGAACCTGCAGAAGCGACAATGACTGAGACCCCCGGCCCCCTGGAGCCCTGCGCCCACCTCCCTGGCCAGGCTCCCCTGGGGTCACGGACAGCTCAGGTACCGGGTGGAGAATTCGTCGAAGTCTGACAGGAGGTCACAGACACGGAGGCCCGTGCGGGCCGCCTTGGATGAGTAGGCCGGTCCAATCCCCTTCCTGGTGGTGCCGATGCTAAAAGACAGGCCAGGCTGTGAACTCGGGTCGCCCAGGCCAGCCTGCCCAGGCCAGCCTGCCCGGGGCCTGGGGGAGGAGCCTGGGAACGCGGGTTTCCAGCCCCAGAAATCAAGGTCGAGCTGGGTGGCATCTGAGGGTCCCTCCCGGCAGCAGCACCCGGGGGTCTGGGACGGCCATGAGAACCACGGGACATCTCACGGGGCCAGCTTCCAGGGACCCGGGGCTGCGGTGGTGGCACCGGGTCTGAGTCCCAGCCCTGACCCTCCCCTATCACCCGTCTGAGGCCCAGTGCCCAGTGGTGCCCTCCCCGGCCTGTCTGCCTTCTGCCCTGGCTTCCCTCTCGCCTGGCACGGAGGCTGCTGCTCCGGGACCGGAACCCAGCTGTGCCCATCCTCTACCCTCTGCCCGCCACAGCCCAGCCAGGCTCAGCATTGCCACCTGCATGTGGCCAAGCCCTGTGTGTATGCGTGCATGTTTGTGGGTGCATATGCTCCTATGGGAGCGTGTGTGCCTGTGTGTGAGCACGTGCAGCGTGTGAGATGTATGCAGTGCATACACGTGCGCACATACGTGTGTGCCTGGGTGTGAGCGTGTGCCGTGCATGCACATTTGTGTGCAGACACGCGTGCACCGGTGTGTGCATGTGTGTGGTACATGCATGTGTATGTACGTGTGCGCTTGTGGACGCGCGTGTGCACGTGTGTGTGAGAGGCAGTACTCTGGCCTGCTGCATCCCTGTCCCGGCTTTGAGAACCGTCCCCGGCCCCTTCTAACAAATATCTCTGGAGAACCAGTGAACGGCCACCAAGAGCTGGTGGGCAGGATGGGGTGCCGTGACAGAGCTATGGTCAAGGCTGGCTTGCGATCCCAGCAGGGGTGGGGGGCGCAGCAGGCGACAGACAGCACGGGCACTCCGCGGGGTGGAGGCCAGGGAGGACGGCGCGGCCCCGGGGAGAGGCGGCTCACTTGGGCTTCAGGGCCAGCGAGGCCTGGGGTGAACCGACGGGCACCGTCCTCGGGGGCTTCGGGTGGACGCACGCTCCCCACCCCACACGCCCCCAGCTCTCCATCCATGGACTCGAGGGCCACGAGCTGAGCACACGTGCTACTCACTTCTTGCCCTCCTGGGCCTGCCTCTGCACCTCCTGGAGCCCATCCACCGCCTGGTGAAAATCGAACACTGCCGGCCGGGCCGGCGGGGGCGCCACGAGCGGGAGAGACAGACCGTTACAGGGCCTCCGGGGATGCACTGGGGTCCCCCGGGCCTCAATCTCCCCATCTGCCAGTGGGGGCAGTGATCCTGACCTGGCACCCCCCGAAGCCCTTGGAGAAGGCCTGGGGAAGCCCCAGGCCATGGTGGGGATGGGGGCGTCATTCACAGGCGGGCAGGGAGGGCCTGAGACTCACCGAGGTGGGCCCGGTCAGAGAGGATGAGCCTCTTCTCCCAGTCCTTCAGGCCTGCGGACACAGCACGTGGTTGGCCACGGGCCACAGAGTCACCTCCAGTCAGTGGCGGGCCCTCCCCATGGTGGCCTCTCTGGGGGGGAGTCCTGGGCCCTCCCCCCAGGGACGTCCACCCACGTGCCCACGGGCGAGCCTGTCTCCCCGTGGGGTCTCCGTCCCGGCACCTCCTGGTGCCCGCGTCCCAGGGCCAGGGTTCCACTCGCTCTTTTCATGCCTGCGCTGAGCCCTGAGGCCGAGGCTATGCTTCCTCCACGGCATCTCAGGGCTGCTGTGTCATCTTGCCTCTAAACAGCCACTGGGGTCTCACTTGCCCAGATGCCTGGCTGGTGGCCTCGGTCACTGCCTGCCAGCCTCCTGCCCCTGAACAGCCCCCAGAGACCACATTCTTCCCTGCTTGCATGGTCGGTCCAATGGTCCCCAGTCTCAGCCGGACATCAGGGACATATTCCAGGTGCCAGGGCTCCTTCCTGGACAGCCTGGTCTTTATCTCCCAGTGCCACCTGTCCCCAGTGTCACGAAAGCTCCCCTGCGACACTAAGGCTGTGGCCTGGAGCCAGAGTGTGGGGCCGCTGGACTGCCCGCTCCCGGCTTCCTGCACAGGCAGAGCCAGCAGGCCCAGGCAGGGGGCCAGCCGTGGAAGCCGCCCCACCTGCCCACCTGCCGCCGCCCTCAGGAGAAACCACATGGCGAGCCACCCGGCAACTTGGCCGCTGGGAACATGCACGTGTCCTGGGCGGGGCGGGTCTGCGGGGACACGGGCCTACCTTTCTTCTCATTCTTTTCTGCTTCTTCGAACAAGCCTGGTAAGTGGACAACCACTCCGTTGCCTGCAACACAGACACAAGACTGAATCGCATCACGGACGTGGGGGCCTTACGTTTAAAACAGCACAGGGACTTCCCTGGCGGTCCAGCGGTTAAGACTTCACCTTCCAATGCAGGGGGTGAGGGTTCAATCCCTGGTCGGGGAGCTAAGATCCCACAAGCTTCATAACCAAAAAACCAAAACATAAAACAGAAGCAATACTGTTAACAAATTCAATAAAGACTTTAAAAGTGGTCCACATAAAAAAAAAAATCTAAAAAACAGGGACTTCCCTGGTGGCCTAGTGGTTAAGAATCCACCTGCCAACACAGGGGACACGGGTTCAATCCCTGGTCCGGGAAGATCCCACATGCCGTGGAGCAACTAAGCCCGTGCGCCACAACTACTGAGCCTGCACTCTAGAGTCCGCAAGTCACAACTACTGAGCCCACGCACCACAACTACTGAAGCCTGCGTGCCTAGAGCCCTCGCTCCACAGCAAGAGAAGCCACCGCAATGAGAAGCCCACGCACCGCAACGAAGAGTAGCTCCCGCTCGCCGCAACTAGAGGAAGCCTGCGCACAGCAATGAAGACCCAACACAGCCAAAAATAAATTAATTTTAAAAATAAAATAAAATAGCCTATTTTTAAAATAAATAAATAAAAACAAAAACAAAAACAGCATGAAATTCGCGCTCCCACGTTCATTGCAGCATCGTTCAAAATAGCTAAGGTGGGGAAGCAACCCAGGCGTCCATCAACAGACGGATGTGGTTCATCCACATGATGGGATATTATCCAGCCTTAAAAAGGAAGGTAATTCTGACACAGGTGGTAACATGGATGAACTTCGAGGACACTATCTAAAGTGAAATAAGCCAGACGCTGAAGAACACATTCTGTGTGATCCACGTGTATGAGGTCCATAGAGAAGTCAAACTCATGGAGACAGGGGGCAGGGGCTGGAGAGGGAAAGGGGGCGTGACTATGTAACGGGGACAGAGTGTCTGTTCAGGGAGATGACACGGCGCTGCAGACAGATGGTGGTGAAGCCTGCACAACGTGAATGCACTTAACGCTGCCGAACCGCACAATTAGAAATGGCGAAGAGGGTCAGTTTATATTACGTACATTTTATCACAATGAAGAAAACGGTCAAAACAAAACAAAAACCATCATGAAGCATTTACGGAGACAGCAGATCAGTGGTTGTGGGGGGGGGGGGGGGGAGGGGAGAGGAGAAACTCCTCAAGGGGAGGAAAATGTTCTAGAACTGAATTGTGATGGATGTACAGTCGTACCCTCACAGGGGTGAACTTCATGGTACGTAAATTATACCTCAATAAAGCTGTTATGTTTTATTTAAGTGGCATAGAAACGGGAAAGCAAGAGGTGCGGAGAAATGCAGCCTCCAGCCGTTCCTGGGACCCAAGCAGGGCCTCGGGGGAGCCACGCTTCCCCATCCACGTAAAACTGAAGTAGGGTCTACAGAGGGCGGAGGTTGAGGCCAGGGAAGGAAGGCGCTCACCAAGGTCATGAGGTCACCGTGGGCCCAGGCTAAAGCCAAAGCTGGCCCCTTCCTCTAAGGCCAAAACCAGCTGGGCAGGGCCCCCGCTGCCTTCCTGGGAGGAGCCCGTTCCCTGAGCACCGGGATTAGCCAAGGGAGATGGGTCATGGGTCCAGACGGGAGTGACTCAGAGACGAGACGATGCAAGCCACACCGAGCACAAAAGGTCACCTAAATGCCACGAGTCCTGAAATGACCACGTGGCTGGGCCTGGGGCAGTGACCCGGGCTAGAGGGGCAGCTGTGTGAGTGCCAGCTCGTTCTGCCCTTGCTAAGGGGCTTCCCGCTGCCGTCGCCGTCTGGCCGTGCTGACCTCCAAGCTGAGCCCTTGCCCATGCTCCCCGGTGACTACTGACCCCCACCCACCCCCAGCTCCTCGGAGACCGGGCAGAGCGCCCCCTGGTCGAGCGGTGCCTCCTTGGCCTCATTTCCCTCCCAGAGGGGCCTGGGGCCCAGCAACCGAGGCTGGCGCTGAGCAGCTTCCTGCAGCAAAGCCCCAGCCCCTGGGCGTGGGGTCCCGGGTGAGCTGGCGTCCTCGCTGCCCTGTCCTCACCCACGGTGGTGGCTCCGGGAGACCCTTTCCTCCTGCTCAGCCTGACTGCCCACTGCCCTGCGGCCCCTCTGCCGCCGTGTCCCTGGGCCCACGCGCAGGGCCAGACCCCCTACCACCGCCGGGCACACACCTGCCGCGCCACCCCGGCTTCCCAGCTTCCCAGCCAGCGAGGGGGCAGGGCAGATAAGTCACGAGTGTGGGCCTGCCCAGGCGTGGAAAGAGCCAGAAGGAAAAGTACCAGAAGCTGCCAGAGCGTGTCCCATGGGGGGTGGGCAGCAGAAGGCAATGGGAAGGGGCCGAGGGGAGGCGCCCGCAGAGGGGCCCGAGCAGGCCAGGAACAGCTTCCCTGCACAGACCCGTCTCCAGCGACGCGGCAGGGAGCCAGGCCCGACCCCACTCGCACGCTCACTTAAGGACACGCACAGGAGCACGCACACGCTCACACTCACGCACCTCTGCATGCAGACTCATACACATGCACACTCGCACGGGCGCTCACTCACAGACAGGCACACAGGCCTGGACACACACACTGCGGGAGTCTGAGCGCTCAGAGGAGCCTCCTGCACTCTCCCTCCCTCTGGACCAGGCTGGGTGGGGTCCTGGGCTCTGGGAGGGGCTCTGAGGACAGGTCCCGGGTCAGAGGCCTCTGCGAGGGCTCCCGCTTGAGGCGGGGACCTTGGACCTTGAACCTCCCGGCCCAGGGCTGAGGCCCGGCTGAGGTTATTCCCTCCTGGCCAGGGGCACCTGGTCCTCACGCTGGGCAGGGCAGGGGGGACGGGGGTCCAGCCCAGCTCTCCGGCTGCGTCCAGGCCTCACACCGGGCCCTTGGGCTGGATGACGTCCCAGGTCTCTCCTGCTCACACACTCAGGATCCCAGGCTGGGGTGGGGCAGGGCGGGCACTCACCAATGAAGGACATGGCCTTGGTGTTGATGATGCCGCTGGGTAGCAGATGGAAGTCATACTCCTTGCCGTCCACCACCACGGTGTGGCCAGCATTGTTGCCCCCCTGGGAACAGAAAACAAACTGGCTCAGCATCCAGGAGCCCAGGGGCCTGGACCCACACTGGGAAGGCCTGCCCGGCAACCGGCCTCACTCCAGTCAGCTCTAAATGCAGGCGCTCAGGAGTCCCCTCTGGGCTGCCCGGGGTGATGGTCCTGTCCCCCAAGGAGTGTGAGGTGCCGTCCATGCTTGGACTTGGGGAGTTTGGTCCAGTGGTCGGCTCTGATGCACGTCTGGGGTGCTGGCTTAGGGCCCTGCTCCTGGGATGGGGTGAAGGGGCCTGGCCAGGGGACCGGGTCCAAGAGAGGGGCTGGCCCACACCCAGGATCGTCACGTGCCATTGCTCCAGGGAGGCTGGCTAGTGCAGCCCCGATGCTGCAGACACACTCAGAGCCCTGCCTGCCCATGAGTCCCTCTGGGGGTTCGTCCTCTGATGCAGGAATGAGGGGGCCCAACCATCCCGGGAAGCAAACTCAGGCCCCCATGGCCCTTGCTGCCACACAGCCCGAGCTCCGGGGAAGCAGAGGGCAGGCCAGGTAGCACAGCCCTTCTGCGGCCGGGTGAGGGAACTGGGTGCTGGCATGGGCCAGCAGGGACCCTCCCTGGGGCCTGTGTCTCCCATCTAAGAATAAAGAGGGAAAAACCACTCTGCGGCTGTCAGGGCTGAGTCGGGGGAGCCAGGGGAAGGCCCTGCCCTTGAGGGGCACCGGCCTCCAGTCCCAGTTCCGGCGACTAGCGGACAGCGTGGGCCCCAGTACGTGGGTCCTCAGAGCCAGTGAGCAGGGCCCAGGGAGGGGCACGTTCTGGCTGGCGCCAGAGGCTGTGGGCCTGCTCTGTGGGGCCCTCTCTGTCCCCAGAGCCTCGGAGCCCAGCCCGGCTCCACCTTCCCGGCTGAATCTCCTGCAGAAGCACACGCCTGTCTGCGGAGGCTCTCCACGGAAGGGCCTCCATCCTCCACGCCCGGCTGTTCTCCAGCCTTGTGGAGGCGTCCGTGGCTGCTGGCTGAGGGCTTCAGCCCCGCCTCCGCAGGGCCCGGCAGGGTGGGGCTCCCCCGATAGGAGGCCTCTCCTCGCCCCGTGCAGGCAGGGCTGAATGAGGGCGGCCCCCTCCTGCCAGGAGCACCTACTCCTCAGCCTGGGGATGGATGAAACTTACACGTCTCCCGGGCCCCCCCACCGAGATGGCCCAGGCTGGGGGCGCAGGCGCCAGGAGACCTGGCCAGGGCCTCTTCCCCCTGGACCTCACCGCACCCCCGGGTAATTTAAGAAGCGGGGCCAGAGCCCAACGTCACCCACAATACCCCTTTCGCCCTGGGGCTCGGCCGCGATCTGTGCCAGACGGCCCCACCACGGCCCGGCTAGCAGCCCCTTCCACGGGGGTCCCTAGACACCGTAGCGTTCCACTTGTCAAACGCACGCGGAGAGGCCTGTCTGGCCTGACACGGGGGTTGGGGGACTGGGGTGGGTTTGCCTCTAATTGACTCCTGGGGTCGCTGCGATGCTGCTGTGCATCCCTGAGGCCCTGCTGCACGACGGCGCTGGGTCCCATGGCTCAGCCGCCCCCCGAAGGCCGACAACGGCTGGAGGCCAGACTGCCGCCTCCCCAGGTGGTTGGCTGCGGGAACTGAGCGCAGGCTCTGAACAAATGACGCGGAAAGCAGAAGGACAAAGGGCATGACAGCGGGGTCTGGGGGCCAAGGAGGGGGTGCCCTGTGAGCAAGGGTGGGCAGGCGGTGTCAGGCCATGGGGGGTCGGATGCAGGCTGTGCTGGGGGGTGAACTGGGGGGGGCCGCCACGGAGGGAGACAGGGAAGGGAGCTGATGCTGACGAGGTGGGGGGGGGCAGGGGAGTAGGGCGGTGGGCTCAGCCTTGACCATCTGAGTCACCGTGACTGATGGGCCCCAGGTTTGGGGGTCAACTGTGCCCGCCCCGAGACTTCTGTCCTTGCTCTGCCCTTGCCTCAGTACACGTGCAGCGAGTCCCCTCACGTGAGGTTCTCCGCGGAGTTCACACCCAGGGTCAGGTTTCCCACCATAGGTGAGTCAGCCCACGGTGCGTGGCCTCCTTTGACAGATGGGTAAACTGAGGTCCCAAGAAAGGAGTTTGCAGCAGAGCCCAAGCTAGACCAGATGGCAGCTTGCAGATGCTCTCCCCGTATGCCAGACATCCCCCCCAGCCGCATCCTGCCAGCCTTGGTGGGGGTCCAGACGGCCCGCCTCCCTCCCCTGCTCTCGAGTGCCCAGTGCCAACGCCAGCTGGCCTGAGCACACACCACATTTGTTTGGGGTAAACACCAGCGCCTAGGAACAGGCGCAGGCCACTGCGGGCCTGTGGGAGGCAGGTGGCCCTGCCGGCTGCGGGGCCCAGGCGTCAGGTCACAGTCCGCTCGCAGGGCCGTGAGCCAGCCCTGGACGCTGAGCCCGGGGTCTGCTGCCCCGCAGGGCGCACCTCCCAGCAGCTCTGCAGAGGTCCAGGTGACCGCCCAGAGAGACCCCCGTCTGCCCTCTCCTGGCCGCACAGTCAGGGGTGAGGTCGGGGCAGGGACACCCCACCTGCCTTCCTAAGGCTCCAGCCCCGCAGGCCCAGCCCGGCGGCCTCTGCAGGGCCTTCGTTCCTGGGTGGGCAGGTTCTGGAAGCTCCACGCCTGGGGCCCCGCAAGCGTGAGCTGGAGCTGGCCTCACCCCTCTTCCGTGTCCCAGGGGGACCCTCAGGGCTCTGCCAGCCTCCAGGTTCTCCCCTCCGTGATGCAGCTTTGGGTCAGGCACAGCTCTGAGTGTCCAGGGATGCTGAAGCCACCCCTGTGGCCTGGCCGGTTACTCAAACTCCCTGGTGGGCGCTCCTGCCTGTTGCTTCCCTGGCCGCAGGGATCTAAGAAAGGGCGGCTCTATCGCTCAGGGACACAGAAACGGGGCCAAGGCCAACCCACTGGGGTACCTGCCCAGCCCCGACCCCCCTGCCTCTGCAGGTGTCCTTCCAGCCCACCCTCCCCCCACCCTCTCTGGGGAAGAGACAAAGGCGGCAGAGGTCGAGTGCGGGGCGACAGTGTCTCAGAGGCCGTGAAGCTGCTCCCATGCCGCAGGGTGTGGCCACGGGCGGGGGAGGAGGCCTCTGGGCAGCGGCAGGAGCTGCGGGTGTTATCAGGGGCGGGTGCAGCACGCAGCAAGGGGCCGGCTCTCCGGCTGGAGACCCTTGTGAACTGCCCCCACCCCCAGCAGGGTCGGGGTGAAACCATGGAGTGCACGCACCCAGGCCGCCCTCAGCTCCCTCTGTGTGTCTGCTCTGCTGGCGGGCTCCTGCCGTTCATTCGTTCACCCACTCATTCACTCATCCCAAACTGAGCTACTCTGTCCCACGAGGCACTGGGGTGAGGCCTGGAGAGAGGAGGCGCGGGCTCCACGTGGATGTTCCCACAGCCACGAGGGACTGGGCGGCCCTGCGGAGGCCCTCCCCCTGGAGCACTGCTGGGGGGCCGGTGTCATCGGAGGGTGTACATGTGGAAGGGGGGCTGCTTCTGGAGCAACACCAGGTATTTTCCCCACTCTCCCTCCCCCTCGGAGGCTCCTGGACTAGCCTGGGGCTCCAGGTGAGGCATTTCCCAGTTGCCCTCCCAGGGAGAGGGGACCCAGGGCACCAACAAGCCGCAGGACGCGGCCCCCAACGAGTGAGATCACCGTGCCCATCGCCACAGCTCCCTGGGGACTGACGGTGGCGCTCCCCCAGGGAAACCCGCCCGCGCCCTGGTGCCGAGCCGAGCTGTCTTACTGCCCTTGGAAGGAGGGGAATCTGAAACCCTGCCCAGTGCGTGCGAAGGCCTTGGGGTCCTGGGTGGGGGCCCAAAGCCTGATGAAGGCAACTCTGGGAATGGAAGGAGGGCTGGCACCGAGGCCTGACGGCCAGGCCAGGTGTATGAGCTCTTAGGCTCCTATCTGGAACACGGAGGCGGGTGAGGGGGGCGGGCGGAGGGGGATGGCAAACAGCAGGAAGGACGCTCAGCAGACATGGAAAGCCGGAAAGCCGGAGCCCAGAGGAGGGGCGGGGACTCCCTGGGAGTGAGGGGAGCCTTCGGCCGCTGTTTGTGCAAAGAGCAGAGGGGGTATGAGGCGCCAGCGCGGGGAGGCCGCTGATGGTTGGGCTCTGGGGTCTCTGCCGCAGCGGTGCGGCAGGAGCTGAACCAGAGAGAGGAAAGGGGGAGGCTGCGCGGCCATCCCTGAGCCCAGGGGGGCTGGGCTGCGAATGAGGAGAGAAGGGAGCCAGCCCTGGGGCAGACCGGGGACCCAGGCTGCAGAAGGGTTGCTGCTGGTGAAGGGCAGGGCTGCGCACCCTCCATTCGGGGAGAGGGGAGGCTGCCAGGAAAGGGGGCCTAGAGTCAAAGAAAACAGCAGGAGGAACCTAAGGCCTGAGTCTCTGGACCGTAAGGAAGGTCTTGGGGGTCTTGGGGTGCTTGCTGACCACAGGGCCCAAACCACTGAGATGGGAAGAAACGAGGATGGCCGCTGGGGGCATGGGTGGCTCTGGCCCCAGGCCGCCTCTGGGCAGGAGGAAAGTGAGTCCAGGTGAGCCAGGTGGACAAAGGCCACCAAAGGGCTTCCCACTTGTACCAGAGCCAAGACGGGAGACAGGCCTGCTGGTGGCAGAGGGTGAGCAGAGGCAAGACCAGAGCCGGGGACCAGGGCAGCCATGGGGGTAGCAGCTGCCACTCAGGATGGCCCCAGGCCCAGGTGACAGGCCAGGGGACCCTTCCGGCCACTGGGGCCGGCTGGCTTTAGCCCTTCTAGGCAGCCACCCAGACGGGCCCCAGCCCAGCCCAGCCCACCCCCTGCACGCGACCCCACTGACAGCTTCCCTGGCCCCTCGCTCCCGAGCTCGGACCAGCTCCTGGAGTCAAGGTGCAGTGTGAAGGCTAAGACCCTGGGCTTCACGCATACACGCTCTAAGTAAAAGCAGCCTTCCCGGGGCCTGGGCTGGACCCTCCCCGTGCCAGCCCCTGACGCCCAGCGCTGTTGCCATGCGGGTGTGGCACACGTGAGGGCCCATAAGTGCTACTTATTCCAACTGCTCAACTCCTCTGAGGCCCCGCCTCACCAGCTTGTTTGGAGGCTGGAGAGGAGAAACCCCAGTGGGCTCCCAGGACAGCTGGGAATTATTCCCACATGTTGCAGAGCAGAGGCCTGCAGGTGGAAATGTACTGATGTCAGTTGGAGAATAGGGGTGGGGGAGAGGGTGACTAGGGGGCCCCCCAGGCGGTTGGGGGGTCCAGCCTGCTCTGCCCTTGGCTGGTCCTGTCCAGCGATGGAAGAGGGCACGGCCCAGCCTGCTGACCCAGGTGGTAGAGCAGGGAGGGCCTCACTCCAGAACCATCTCCACAGCCAGGACATCCCGGTGGCTTCAAGATGAGGGCTCTCACGGGTACCTGCAAAGCCCCGAGGTCACTTCGAGGAGGGGAGACGGCCACAGGCAGGTGGGCGAGGCTGACCAGAGCTGGCAGGTCACACGAAGGGCCCTGGGCATCATTGCTGGAGCAGACAGGCCCCAGGAGGGGATGCCCTGAGCTGGGGAGGGAGGAGAGTGGGCATGGACCACGCGCTCGGCTGCAGGGTCCAGGGGAGAGGAGCTGACTTGCTCGCCGTGGCTTAGGGCAGAGAGAGGGTGGGAGACTTCTCGCCACCCCAGGAAGCACCTTCCAGGAACCCACTGTCTGCGTCAGGCAGGAGTGGTCCGGATGGCAGCGTCTTCCCCAGGCCCCGCACGTTGGTCTCCCCTGGGGCGCCGGAGCCCCAGGCCGCCTGGCGGGAGCTCAGGAATGAGGCCACAGAGCCAGGGAGGAGGAGCTCGGAGGGCGCCCCTTCCTCACTTTTGGCAGCGTTCCCGCCCGTGGCTGCAATCCCTGGCAGCGCCAATGCACGCACCCCAAAGCTGACCCCTCTGCACCCCGAGCTGTAGGTCAGCCCATGGCAGCAAGCATGGCACGGGGCCCCAAGGGACTGCCCGGTGGCAGTAAGGACAGACGGGGTGCAGAGAGCAGCCCGCAGCCGGCAGAGGCCCCGCCCTGGGCCCCCAGGGGACGGAGCTTGTGTCTGGCCTCCTGGCTGGCACTGCCAGCCACGGGGTCGCCCCGGCCGTAAGTCCGAGGCTCCCCCCTCTCTTCCTTGTCCCTGCTCTGCCTGACGTCAGGACCTGGCCCGCTGTCCTGCCCTGGCCTCTGCCTCTGCTTGGCTGACCCTCCAGGGCCAACCCTCTTAGAGGGGCCTTGCTGGCTCCCACTCTGGGCTCTGGGCACTCAGCCTCCTCGGCGTGCACTGACCCCTTGTGGTCAGCCAGCCCTGTCCCAGACCCAGACAGAACCAGGAAGGGAGGGTGTCTCCGTGGCCCTCAAACCACTGGGAAGCTGGGGTCCCTGCCCCCCACACTGCAGGGCCCAGTATCACACCCACGGCACACCCCGCCCCCTGAGGATCCGGTGTCCCCAGCTCAGCGACTTGTATTTATAGCTCTGCCCCGGCCCACTGCCCTGGGGGGTGGGGCTGGTGGGGAAGGCAGGGTCCCTGGGGGAGGCAGTGGGGGAGGGAAGCGTGTGCTCCCATGAGCGGCAGGGGCTGTGAGCGGGCGGGCGGGGTGTCCCGGGAGGGCGGGAGGGCAGGGTCCGTCTGGGCCCGCGGGGCGGGGGGGGGGGGGGGGGGCCGGCGGGGGGGGGGGGGGGGGGGGGGGGGGGGGGGGGGGCCCGGCGTCCGGCCGCACCTGGAAGCGGCTGACGATGTCGGCGTCCGCGGCCAGCAGATCCACCACCTTGCCTTTGCCCTCGTCCCCCCACTGCGCGCCCAGCACCACGGTCACCCGGGAGCCGGTGGTCGCCGCCTCGTGCTGCAGCCGCCCCCGCTTGACGCCGCCTGCGGCGGGGGGCCGGTCGTTGGAGGCTCGGGTCCCCGACATGCTGGCTCAACTCCTCCGCTCCGCTGGGCCGCCCGAGAGCCCGCCGCACCAGCGCGCCGCGCCATTAAAAGGAAGCGGCCGGGGGCGGGGGGCGGGGCCGGGCTCTCGGGCGCCGTGACGCGCCGCCGTGACCTCCAGGCCGCCGGGTCCCGCCCCCGCAACCACCCGGAACAGGGTGGGGCCGCGGGCCGGGCCAGGGTTTGGGGGGCGCAAGGCCCGACGGCGCGCTCCGGGGTCCCTCCACGCGGCCAGGCCGGGGGAGCCCCGGGGATGCTCTTGGGGGCTATCGCGCTCGCCTTCCCCGAGGCGAGGCCTGGACGCCGCGACCCAGCCCGCCGGCCACGCTAGGTCCAGGACCTCGGCGTTCCAGAAACCGCGGGGGTCCCCTCCAGGGCGGGAGTGCGGTCTGCCAAAGGGGAGCTGCGTCTTTCCGCCCCACTCGGGGTGTACGGGGTGCGCACCTGCCCCGCGGTGAACCCGGGTTCTCCAGACTGGCGCGGGCGCCCTCTGGTGGGCGCAGAGAGAGGACAGAGTGTCTCCCCCACCAACGTCCCCCCTCCCCTCGCCCTCCCATATGGGCAGGGGCCCCGGCGTCTGGCACTGGCACCCTGGTATCACAGGCGGGCTAAATCCAGGAGCCCGGCTGCCTTCGGGTCTCAGGGCCCTGAGTCCAGGGAGAAGGGACGGTGCCGTCAGGTCACCTGGTTGGGCACTGGAGCGGCCAGTGATGCACACCAGCCGCACTGGGCCTGGGTGTCTAAGAGGCCCCACCAGACCTCCTCGCTGCCCCAGCCTGTGCAGGGACTGGGTGCCCAGAGAGGGTGCACCATGGGCTGCTGGGCTCCTGTGTTCCCAGCGGAGTGAACGCCTGCTCTACCCTGCCACATACACACCCTAAGTGGACTTGGGCTTGGACACGACTGGCCCTACGGATCGGAGAAGGGGCGAGGGATGGGCCCCTGGGGGTAGGAGTGTCCTATTAGGCCCCTGCCTCAGAGCTGGGAGCCAGTGCCCCTGGTTCCTTTCCTGTGGGGACTCTCAGCGCAGAGGGGCCTGGAGCCTGTCCACTGGCCTCTGCCCAGGGCTCAGAGAGCCACTGAGCTCCCTGGGCTTCCAAGCCAGAGGCAGGAGACCAGATACTCCCCAGGAGCAAGGGAGTGGACCCTGGGCTTGTCACGGACTCCTGGAGAGTCAGTGCTTCACGCCCCAGCACCGCTGCACCTGCTCCTCCGCCTCCCTCCCCCCACCCCTGCACCCTCCAGCCCCCTGGGCTCCTGGCCAGAGCCCTGGCGCCGACCCTAGGCAGGGCTCTTGGCCCCTCCGTGCCCTACTCCCTCTTCTCTCACGTGGGGACACCAGGGCTTACAAGCAGGGTGTGAGGCCTCCTTGGATGACAGTGATGGAGTGCGGGTGGGCAGCACCCCTCCCCCCCTCCCCCCCCGCCCTTCCGTGGGCCACCAGCCCTGGGAATCGGCTGCAGCAGGGTCAGGAGGGCCGGGTGCCAGGCTCTGAAGCCACCGAGGGGCGAACCGTGGGCTGGCCAGGGGGTGCTGTGGCCGGGGGGCGGAGTGTTTCAGGGAGTGAGGGCGTGGGAGGCTGGCTGTGTCAACAAGGAGGAGGCGGGATTGTAGCAGGAGGGACCAAAAGAGTTCTGGGAGATTTCTTTGTTGTCTCCGGATGCAGGAGTTGAGCTTTAGGATGGCCACCAGGAGCCCTGGAGAGGGCTTTGCTGGAGTCACATCAAAGGGGGGCGGTGGTGATGCTTCTCTGTCCACCACTGGGTGGTGCTGAAGGCCCCAGGCGGGGACTGCTGGCTCCGAGCCCTTCCCGCGGGAGACCGGGGCTCTGGGCCAGCAGGTGTGAGATGGAGGCTCAGGGGGGCCCAGGGGGCACCATGGGGGCTCAGATGGGCTCTGCAGGGCCAGACGCTGGCCGGGGCACCAACTCCCCCAAGCCTGAGTCTATAAATAGCAGGCCTGGGGGGAGTCGGGCTTTTCTATAAACAGCCCTGTCCAGGCCCAGCAGCTGGGGCCCTGCCAATCACATGGCCCAGCCCAAATTAGAACAGCCCCCTGCAGAGGCACACAGGCTCGGCTGCCCAGGGTTCCCACTCTCTGGGGCCTCACCTCACGTCATACGTGGTGCCCCAGGACACAGGTGCCCCTGGAACTTGAAGCAGTGCACCGGCAGGAGTGAAAACTGGTGGTGCACCGGCAGGAGTGAAAACTGGTGGTGCACCGGCAGGAGTGGAAACGGGCGCAGCCGCTTTGAAGAACAGTTTGGTAAATTCTTAAGAAGCTGAACAGAAACTTGTCATATGACCCAGCCATTCTCGTTTCAGGAATTGAACCCTGAGAAACGAAAGCACACAGGCAGCCCACACATGCTCACGGCAGCGCTGCTCACAAAGCCTCACGTGGAGACCACCGGAGCGTCCACAGACAGGTGAACGGATGAACAAAATGTGGTCTGGCCACAGAACATTCTTCAGCCACACGAAAGAATGGAGTCCTGACACACTACAGCCCGGCTAAATCTCAAAAACATGCTAAACCGGTCACAGAAGGCCAGTTATTGTCTGATCCCGCTTCCATGAAATGTCCACGGGAAGCCAATCCGTAGCGACAGAAGGCACTTTAGTGGTTGCTGGGGTTGGGGGAGGGGGAACGGGGAGCGGCTGCCACATCGGGGATGCGGGGACTTTGGGGGCATGATGGAAATATACTAAAAGTGGATCACGGTGATGACTGCAGTATCTTGTAAATCTGCTGGAATTACATACACTTACAACAGGTGAGGTTTATGTCTGTAAATTATGGCCCCGTAGAGCTGTGCTCATCTCACCACTGTCCTGGACCTTGCCCCGATTCCAGGGGCTCTGTGGGAGCAGGCAGGGCCCCTCAGGTCCACCCCTCCCGCTGTCCCCCCCTCCCCTGATCCATCCACCTGTCCACCCATGCACACAGCCACCTATGTGCTAATGTAGCCATACCCCCCTCTACCCATTTACCCACCCTCTCACTCCCCCCCCGTCTGTCCTTCCCTTCCTCCATCTACCCGTCTGTCCATCATCCATCCATCCATCCACCCACCCGCATCATCACAGCCACTGTGATCAAACCACACTCACCCACGGCTTCTGGATACAACATAGTCACGTGCTGGGCAAGCTTTGCTCTTTATTGGCCAAAGTTCCTCCAGTCTCAGCAGCACGCAGCGGGGGATGGGGAGGATGGGGGGTGGGCGAGAGCGCAGTGCGGGCAGGGGGCCCACGGGGTCAGAGACGAGAGGCGGCAGCCCCTCTGGCTAGATCCGTCCGGTCCCCTAGGCCTGGATCCCGGCCTCCCCTCAGCCCAGCCAGGTCTGGAGGTAGGAGCAGCAGCTCGCAGGGCGGGTTGTGCTGTCGATGAGGGGACCAGGTCCTGGCTGTGGCCACAAGGGCAGACCCCTCCCTACCTCAGGGCTGGAGATGCTAGGATGCGTGTCAACTCCATGGGGTCCCCCCTCCTTCTGAGTAGAGGGACGCTGGCCCTCCCATGCACTGTCAGCCTGCCTCTACCCAAAGGCCCTGGGGTCCTCTCACCCACCTACCTATCCCCGACTGGGCCACCACAGAACTGTAGAAACGCATAAACAGTCCCATTTCAGTTAAACACGACTGCTTCCGACCAACTGAGTGGGCTGGGGGGACGAGCTGTGGCACCGGGGCTCCAGTGCCCCCACCCGCCCCGGCTAACCGCAGCTTCAGGGGGAGGGGGTCTGTGAGGGCCTGTCCCCAGAAGCAGCTGGGTGCCGGGTGACAAGCTCAGTGGTGCTGGGCCCGCAGCCACCTAACCCTGCCCCCTGCAGGCTGCGGGCGGGCGCCGTGGTGCATGCGGTGTGGGGTCGGGACTGGGCGTCGGCGTTTAGAAAGCAAACCGCGAGGGGCTGGGGGCATTCAGGCAGGCCAGGAAGGCGCCAGGCGGGCCGGGCCCCAGTGCCCGTTGGGGTCCCAGCCGCAAGCCCCTGCCAGGGCTCCGGGAGACCGCGGCACTGGCTGGGTAAGGCACAGGGTTTTGGTTTCCCGGGGGCCGGTCCCAGCCTGGCCCCGGAGGAGCCCCGCTCGGCAGCACGTCCAGCGGTCCTGCTGTGGGTCCTCTCACTTGGTTCTGGGCCGGGGTCTGAGGCCTGCGGGGAGGGAGAGGAAAGAACTCGGTCAGGAGCGGCCTTGCTGTGGGCGGTGGCAGGGGGCCCACACCGGGTCCCCAGGCTCCTGCTGCCCCGATGCCCCCTGCCCAGTGGGCTGCACCGCGTGTCCCCAGGTCCACTCGGACGGCTCACACAGGAAGCAGGTGCCTGCAAGATGGCTCGTCCACCTGTCCGGACCAGGTTTCACAAAGCACGTCTCATCACCAGGCGGGCGGGGTCTCCCCAGGTCTCACTCCGTCTATACTCACGGGTCCCCACTGTCACCAGCTCTCCCTGGAGGCCCCAGTCACTTCCCCACCGGCCCCTCATGTGGACGCCTCCTGCCGTGTCTTTCTGCAGCTCCATCCTCAGGGCACCGGGCCCTACACCTGTGGCTCCTGCCCCAGGCCGGCCCTGCGCCCACCCAGTGCCCTCCATGCTCTCTAGTCCAGGGGCCCTCGCCTGGCTGTTGCCCCCAGATGCCCTGCGCCCACGGCACCCCGGAGCCAGGCGGCGGCGTGGGGCTCGGGGACCAGAGCTCAAAAGAGATGGGCCAGGAAAACGCCTGGGGCAGGAGCAGAGGATCAGAGTCACCCACACTGTGGCTGCAGGCCCAGGAGGGACAGTCAGGTGGGCCTGGGCCGGGCCGGGGCGGGCAGAGGGAGCGGGGGCGGGGCTGCACCCAGGAAAGGACCAGAGGAGCCGGCAGAGGCGCCCTGACGCCACTCCTCCCACTCTTGCCGTGGCCACGCGAGCACCGCAGCAGAGGACGGGACACACCACCCACGCTCGACACTTGCACGATTGAAGGATGGCACGACAGAACAGAGATGCTGGTGCAAACTGGGAGCCGTCACTCGGAGCATCACCCACCTGCTGCTTACTAATCAGAGTGAAAATACTACTTGTGCAGCGGGGCTCTGCCAGAATCACCACCGTAACACGTCTGGGTCGGCGTCAATGCCACCGACACCGGGACAGACAGGCCCCTGAGCCCCTCCCGCGATGCTCTGGGGGAGGACTCACGTCACGGGTGTAGGATTCCTGCCTTAAACGCAACCTGGACCCAGGTGGGGGACAAACAGGACACCTCCAAAGTGACTTCGTGTCTGCGCTGTTATGCAAGACAAAAGGGGCTGGACGTGTAGTCCTGGGCAGGACTTTGTTTCCAGAAAAGCAAAGCAACGACTATGACAGGTAGACTGGGACCAGGGGTCACCCCGGCCGGGGCTGCGGGTAAAAACAGCTCGGTGTCTGGGTGCGCGGGAGAATGGCCCTGACCTGGGGGCCCCAGGGACAAACCCCGGCACAAAGTATCCTGATGGCTATAAGCAACCCTCACGTCGGTCCGTAAAGCTGCGGGGGGTGGGGGGAGCAATGCAGCAGATGTCAGCAATTCTCCTATGTTTTCCACATTTTTGTAATTTCAGGGTAAAGGATAGGTGCTGTTCATTCGGACCCCCTCACAAATTTCCTGTCGAGTTGAAGTTTTTCTCCAAATAAGAAGTTGGGGAGACAAGGAGGATAGGGGTTCTTCCTCCCGTCCTAACACTGGGATGACAGGGCCCACGAGCCTGCAGACTGGGAGCCCCAGGCCTGGCCGGGGGTGGGGGGGGGCACTGGGGGAGCACAGACCCTGCACCGGGCACAGCAGTCTTTCACCAGACAGTGGCCACACATGGTTGCTGTCCCCGAACGCACGGACTGCACACTCCAATGTCCCCCACACGTAGGGCCAGCAGCTGGGGCTGCAAGGACAAATCCTGGCCCCGAGGGACAGGCGGGTGCCCTCGTGAAAGCAGACAGCCCAGCTCAGAACCCCCCGGGGGGCAACCCCCCACAGCGCAGGGTGAAGGCTGAGCCCCGCAGTGAGGCTGAACTAGGTCACAGCTGCACTGGACCACACCCCTGACCTGGGCTCCGGCACCAGCCCCACCTCACCTCGATGTGCCCAAGCCCCGGACACATCGGGCAGCAGGTGTGTGAGGAACAGAGGGCGCCCCCCCCACAGAGCTCCCACCCAGGTGGGGCTCCGGGGCCCTGCACCAGATCACGGCCCACAGCACAGGCCGGGACGCCATGGGGACCCAGGCCCGTCACTCCGGTTGCAGCTGTGAGCCTCGGCAAAGACCCTGACTGTCCCACCCCATCGCGGGAGAGTCCCAGGAGGTGCCCACAGACCCACCCACTGCCTCCAGGGAGAGGACGCCTGTGCATCCCCACAGGGGCCGGTGGCCTGCCTGTCCCTGGCAGTGGCCTCCAGGGTCTTCCCTGTCCCTCAACGGTCTCCCTGGGGACACGTGTGGCTGGAGCCAGGGCCAGAGGAGGGCCGGGTGCCCTGTGGATAGACTCGGGGGAAGCGAAGCCTGGGGGCCGGGTGTTAGCACGAGGCTCCGGCAGGGCGACCTCAGCCTGGTGGCCGGGCCGAGGGCCACGCCGTCCCCACCCTCCGGGCCCTGGAGCCCTGCTCCCCGAGGGCATCCTGGCTGGCCCTGTCCACCCCGTCGGCCCAGCGGAGGCTCTGAGGCCGCACCTCCCCCAACTAGGCGAAGCACAGCTCCCGCCCTTCTCCGAGAGGGAGGGGAAGCCAGGCAGCGCGGCCCGGGGGACGCTGGCTGGAGGGCTGGGGGAGCTGGGTTAGTGTCCAGGAGGGCCGGGCGCGGGCCCTGCCTCTGCTGCCACCGTTAGTGCTGAGTGCCAGGCTGGTACGTACCTTACTGGATCACACAGAGTCTTTTTGTTTTATTATCGTCAGGGTCAAGGGCAACCTCTGCTTCCAAATAAAAGAAATGCGCTCAACAGCTCGCCCCTCACGAGCGACCCTGAGCTCAGAGCGTGGATGCTGAGCCGGAACACAGTCGCACCCCAGGCCCCTCGCCGTGCCCTGCTGGAGGTGGCCCACGTAAGGCAGGCGTCAGTGGGTTAGAAGTGTGCTGGCTGGGCGGTGCCCCCCAAGGCTGCCCCTTCCCGGAGCAGAGGCGCTGCCACCTCCTCTCTGGCAGGACACGGAGATGCCCCGGGAATCGCCCACACTCGGGGGGGGGGGGTGGCAGCGGCTGGCCGCAAGGGGAGCTCCAGGGCCCTGGCGTGTGACGAATGAGCTCCAATCACACGCCAATGCCCGGAGCCCTGCCGACTCGCCTGCCTGGTACTCCTGCTCGGGGAACAAGGAGGGAGGGGGGAGCCCCAAGTTACCTTCCTGGCTCCTGGAGGGGCGCTTCTTCCTTCGCTTGCCTGTGCCCTTTGACGTCCGGCCCTGGGCCCTGGGGAGGGCGCCAGACCCTGATGAGTCAGTCACGGCATCCTCGGAGAAGGACCTGTCCAGGGAGGTGTCCAGAGCGGAGTCCGGGGCTGTGCGCTCATCTTCGTCTCCGTCCCCGCCACGGCCTGCGGCAGGGAGGCCGGCACCGCGGCCGCGGGCGGCTGCATCCTCTGTGCCCTCGCCTGTGGTGTCAGCCTCGGCCTGGCGGGTGCCCGGAGCGGCCGTGGGTTCCTCGGTGTCTTGGCTCAAACCCGTTGCTTCGGAGGGCTTGTCACTGGAGAAGGTGAGCGGCTTCAGGGCCTGAGTGCCTCCCAGCACCCATGAGGGCTGGGGGCCCAGAGGGTCGTCGGTGGCCAGGACATCACTGGCATCCATGTACCAGGAAGAACGCCTCTCCAGGGACCCAGGACCACCCTTCTCTGATGAGTCTCCAGCGGGCTGGGGGCTGCTGGGGGCGGCATCCGCGAGACCCCAGCCGCGGGGCTCCTTGGCCGCTGCAGCATCGAGACCAGGCTCCGACGTGGGGAGGCTGGTGCCTCCCACAGGATCCCTGGTGGCCGCTGTGGATGGAGCACCCATCAGTGGAGGGCAGGGGCCCCTCAGTGATCCCAATCCCTAGAGCCTGCCCAAGTCGAGTACCACCCACCCTGCAAAGCCCCCTCCCCGGGAAGCTTTTCCTGGTGGCCGAGTGTGGGTTCCCACAGGGCAGGCCCAGGCCTTGATGTCCACGGTCTGTCCACAGTGGGGGAGAGCAGGGGACGCTGGGCCCCGAGACGAGGGCACATCGTCACCCCTGACCCCAGAGTCCCCAAGGAGCCCAAGGCAGCCTTCTCAGGAGTGGAAAGTCCCACCCCAGGGCCTCATGCCTGCCTCCTCCACCACCACAGAGCCCCTCTGAGCCCCAGGGCATCTGTCAGAGGGCCCATTGGCCCGACTCCTCTGCCGGCCTGGGGGCTGGACGGGCGGCCGTCACACCAGCCGGGGAGCCCTCTTGCAGCAGAGACATGCGGAAGCATTGTGGGGGTGAGCTGGCCCTCATCTCAGGGCAGCAAGGGAGAGGAGTGGGCTCTCCTGTGAAATCAAGGAGGGCTGCTTGGAGGAAGGGAGGCGCCGGGCTGCAAGGATGGCATAGCGCGGGGGTGGCGGGAAGCAAGTGGTGACAGGGAGGCGGGGGAGGGTCTCACCAGGTGCCTTGTTCCTCGGGGGGTCTGCGGCCGTGTCCCCTCGGCCACGGGCCGTCTTGCGCAGCTGGAAGCCCTTCCTGATGTCAGCCAGCAAGGCGTCGATGACACACACCTCCTCCTGCTTCCCGCCTCCCTGCCTGACTGAGAAGCCCAGAGACGCAGCTCAGAGGGTCCCTGGAGCCCACCCGGGGAATCGCCCCAGAGGAGGGGATGTAGTGCTGCAAGACTTCCAAGGAAGGAGGAGTGGCCATGGCCCAGGACTGCCCCGCCCCCCACGCCCTCCCCACCCCACCGTGGCCCGTCCCCGCTGCCCTTGGCGCAGCCTCACCAGGCTTCCCACCCTCGCCCCGCAGCCCGCGGGCCTCGTCTTCCTCCGCCAGCTGCTTCCTCCTCTCAGCCCTGGCCGCCCGCTCCTTCCGGTCCCTGTTCTCCTGCGGGACAGATGCGGCCCGTGAGCCCGGCCCCCCATCACCCCCATTCCGCCCGCCCTACCCGGCAACGGCAGGGGCCCACCTTCAGGGCGCGGATGAAGAGGTCCCGGAAGGCCTTCATGGTGCTGAGCGTGTCCTCCAGGGACAGCTGCTGGGCATCCTCACACAGGTAGGCGGCCAGCTCCAGCTGCTTCTGCCTGATGGCCTGGAACACCCCCTCCACCTCCTGGGAGGCCGTGATGCCGGCCTGGGGGCACAGGGGCAGGGTCATGGCCCTGAGGGGGCCCACGCAGGACACCATCTGCTGTCACAGGGAGATGCCCAGGCTGGAGCCCCAGGGAGGGCGCGGTGGGGCCCATGGCCGCAGGAGGATGGCCACCGGCACAGGCCCTGCAGGCGCTGTGGTCTCTGAGCAGGACCGAGGGTCTGAGCACTGTGGCCGCAGGATCAGGGACCAGGAACAGGGGGCCGCCCTCCCGGAGGGGGGTCTCTCACTCTGGCTCTCTCCTCCCCACGCTCACCTGCCCCCCGCCCAGGGCCCCACCCGCCCAGCACCTGCCTGGAGACGTTGGGAGTACTGCTCCTGAACCTCCGGGATGGAGGAAGACACCTTCCGTTCCATCTCCAGAAGCTTTTTCAGGTTACTGCTGCACTCCGAGTAGATGATCTCAAGGTTTATCCTGAAGGTGCCAGAGGGCCGGTAAGGTCAGGTGACGGCTGGTGTCCAGGCTTGCTGGGACAGCGGGGGACCCCTGGACTGCTCACCCTCAGGGACAGCGGGGACCCCCGGACTGCACACCCTCAGGGACAGCAGGGACCCCCGGACTGCACACCCTCAGGGACAACTGGGACCCCCGGACTGCACACCCTCAGGGACAGCGGGGACCCCCAGACTGCACAGCCTCAGGGACAGTGGGACCCTCGGACTGCACACCCACTGGGACAGTGGGACCCCCGGACTGCACATCCACTGGGACAGTGGGACCCCAGATTGCGCACCCACTGGCTGCCAGAAACACGTCAGAGCTTTCAGGCGGGCTAAGTGGTGTTGGGATGAAGTGCCCACCCTAGAAGGTGCTTCGTCTGTGGCGTTAGGACAGTAACCCCCACGGATCAGCCTGTCCTCTTCGCCTGACCCTCCACAAGGCTCAGCAGCCCCATGGCCAGAGGACCCTCCACGGTGGCGTGGTGCCGGGCAGGGCCTGTGCTGGGAGTGTGGACCCTGCAGGTGGGTGGCCTGGGCTGCCCTCCCAGAGCTGCACCTGGGCTATGTGACCCCATGGACCCGGCCCTGCTTCCCCAGGCCTCAGTTTCCCTCCTTGTACAGTGGGGTGGCATGGCCTCGTCTTGAAGGTTAACCTTGTGAAGAGGGCGTGTTAGACCAGCCCCCGGCGTGACCGTAGCCAGGTCGCTCCCCAACATGCTAGGCCTCGGTTTCTTCCTCTAGGTCACACGGGCACAGGCCACGGTGGACGCGAGGTCTTGCCCAGGGTGAGAGTGTCTATCAGGCAGCGGGGCCTGGGGGGCCGGGGCGGTGCCGCAGCGTGCGACCCAGCCTAGTCCAGCCGCCCCACTGGCTGGGGAGCGGGCGGTGGGGGGTAGGGCAGGAGGTACCTACCCTGCCGCTCGGGAGGGCGGCTCCAGGTCCTGGGGCAGCTGCAGGAGGTCTGGGTGGCTCTCCTCCACCTCCTGCAACACGACGTGTCCGGTGAGACCCGCTGAGGCCACCCTGCAACCCCCCACCCTCGGCAGCTGTGGTTCACGGCCCTCGGAAGCCCTCGGCACCCTGGGCCTCCAAGGCCTTCCCTCGGGCCTGGCCGGATTCTGCTGGTTTTGCTCTCCTTGGGGTCTGGGGAGGGACGGAGGCCAGCTGGAGTGGGTGAGGACTGCGGGGGGTGCAGTGGTGTGAAGGGGAGACCAGGGGCTCAGATGGGAGCCTAGAGGGGCTGCAGGCAGAGCGGGGCGTGGGCGCCATCCTGAAGGCCCCCCAGGCCCGCGGGCACCTCCAGCACGTGGTGCAGCAGCGTGACGCGGCTCTGCTGGGCCTTGGTCTCTGTGAGCTTCAGCAGTGTGCTCATCTTGAAGCCGTCTGCGTCCCCGGTGTGGCTGCCCTGCGAGGGCGGGAAGTGAGCCTCTCGGCCTGGGCCCGGGGCCAGGCGGGGATCAGGGAGCAAGGGCGGGCTGCGTGCTGCCCACTCACGTAGTTGAGGAAGTTCCCGATTTTCAGGATCAGCAGGCAGAAGACGGGCAGCCGGTGGCTGGCGAGCAGGCCTGCAGGATGGCATCCCTTCACTGCCTCCCCGCACCCCACCCCACCCCCGCCTCCCCGCTAGGCTCCAGGGCACGAGGGAGTGGGCAGGGCAGCGGAACCCTGACTGAAAGCAAGCCTGGAGGCTCCGGAAGCAGGAGTGACATGGGCGCTCACTGAGCCTCACGCACCCGGGGGCAGGTGACCACTGCCCGTTCTGGGGGCGAGGACAGAGGGGAACCTCTGCCACCTGCAGCCACCCTGGCTCTCAGTCTGTGGCCAAGACGACAGGGGACATCCCCACCCGGCGTGCGACCCCAGCGGAACCGAGCCACGCCTCGGTGATCAGGCCCGTCCGTGTCCCTGCCCGGTGGCTGGGGACTCCTCGCTCAGGGAAAGCGGTGCGCGTGTGTGTGCGTGTACGTGTGTCGGCGTGGGCACGCGTGAGTGCATGCACGGCTCAGGCTTCAAGACGGGGCGGTGGTCTACAGGGAGGGGAAGGTTGGCACCCCCAGGCACCTCTGCAGCCCGAGGGGCGCCCCCAGGACCTGCCTGCCCCCAGCCAGGTGCCCCACTCACCCTCGCAGGCGGCAAGCAGCAGCTGGGCCTTGGGCCGCACCATGTCCAGCACAGCGGCCGAACCCTCACACAGCAGCATGCACTCGACCCGGAGCTGGTAGCTGGGGCGGCAGAGCGGGAGCTCAGGGCCTGGGGGCCTCCACCCACCTTCCCTGGGCCCGCAGGGTCCTCTCGGCAGAGCTGGTGGGGGGTGGTCCCACGGCCTGGCCCTGTTCAGCACGCAGCTTCCCGGGCCGGGCCCCAAGTGGGATGCAGCAGGCCTGGCGTGGGCCCGGGAAGGGCGCTCTGGACAAGCCCCTGGCTGCCAAAGATGAGGGCAGGCGCTCCCTCGTGGGGCACTCCTCGCTCCTAGAACAGGGGCCTTCCCGGGGGTCACACAGGGGGGCCTGGGCCTGCCTGCTGGAGGCCACACAGCCCTGCCCGCTGCCCACCCCCAATGCCGTCGCCGGCCGGGAGGGAGGCCCCGGCCCACAGGGTCCCCTTGGAGGGCCCCGCGGCTGGGGGCAGCACCAGTGATATCTGGACTGCTCTTCGTGAAACCCTGGGGACGCGTCTACACAGCCCTGCTCTGTTCTCTGGGTCTGGGCCCAGCTCCCACCCATGGGCAGGCCCTCGGGTCCGGGGCTGCCGAGCTCACCAGGGGATATCCAGCAGGAGTAGGTAGAACTGGTCGGCGCTGGCCAGCCTGGCCCGATCCTCTGTGAAGGAGCGCAGGTGTTCAACCTGCAACAGGAGGCCCACGCGTGCTCACCCAGAAGACCTGCGGCGGCTCGCTGAGGTGCCCGCTCACCGGGCACAGCTCTGGGTGGAGCTGCAGGCCCCTTGGGCCCCCCCGACACACACCTCTTGGGTCCACTCACCTCGTGCTTCTCGGGAAGGAGCTTGCGGAGCTGCTTGAGAACCTCCACGTCAAACTTGGTGGTGTCCCCAGCCCGGATCATAGCGGTGACCTCCTCGTTGGAGCTGGAGGGGTGAGAGGACGGGGTGGTCACACGAGGCACCCCACTTGGTCTCCTCGGGACCCTGCCAGCCTGGGACGGCCCTTGGCCCACGACACCTCTGCTGGTCATGCCCGGGTTGCCTCCCACACCTAGGAGGTCGCAGGGGCCAGGGCTGCGGGGCACAGAGAAGGCAAGCCACCTGCCCGGGGTCACACAGTAATGACGCTGGCAGCTGAATAGAATACGCCCCATCTGCCAGAGCACCCTCTTCCTCCTCCTTCCAGGGGGCTGCTCAGGACGCAGGTGGGATGGCTCAGCGGTACCCCGTGAGCTCCCGGGCAGAACACCTGCTGCAGGGAAGGACTCAAGGGCTGGGAGGCTGGGCCACGTCCTCGGCCTGGCTTGGCCACCGCCTGTCTGTGGCTTAAAGGGTCCCCACCACTCTCTGGGTATCATTTTCCCCAGGGAGTCTGGTCTAGTGGTCTCCAGAGCCCCCAGCTGGGGTCCTCTGTGGCTATTACCCGCGCTGTCTCTAGCCCCAGGGATGGGATGTGAACTTCCCAGGGTGGCCTGCAGAGGGCACTGCTGAACCCAAGATGCGGGGCCGGCTCAGGCCGGGCCTGGGAGTCTGACTGGGGCTTGGCGGGAGGGGCCGGCTCTGCGACACCAGCTGCTCTCAGATCCTCGCAGCTCACCATCTAAACTGCTTCAGGAAGATGTTGAGGTTCAGGCTCTTCTTGGAGTCCAGAAAAGTGATCTGGAAAACATCGTGACCCATCAGTACCTGGAGGGCAGCCACGGAGCCCTGTCTAAGCCCTGGCCCCGTCCCTACCTCCTTGGGCTCCTTCCTGGCTGGGGCCACTGCTTGTTCCTTGGGCTTGGCCACGGGGAAGGAGAAGAGCCGCTCGATGCTGGAGAAGTCAGGCTCCACCACCTCAGCGTCCGGGCTGCTCAGTGACGCCCACATAGAGCTGCGCTCTGCGGGCAAGGGGCCGCCAGTCAGGCTCACACCTACCCCGGGAGTCTGGGGTGCAGGTGGCCCGGGCCTTGGAGGGCTGGCGGGGATGCCCTGCCTGGGGCCCAGCCCAGGGCAAGCATACAGCGGGCACTTAATAAATGCCTGGCAAAGGAAGCCCTCCAGCTGCTGCCATGCCACATATGTGGGTGTGGCTGCACTGGGGGGGGGGGGGCGGCTGCATCCAGGCTGGCAGGTGACCTGGCCTCTAGCCAGCCTCGGCCTTGACCTCCTCTGAGCCATCAGCACCCTCAGCCCCTGGGCGGCATCAGAGACACACACTGGCCTGCAGCTGTGCGAGGAGAGGGGCCTCAGAGGTGACCCCTGACCTGCCCCTGCCCCGGCTGCGCCCCATGGCGGCCAAGCCCCTGCCCTCAGAGGGGAGCCGCCTGGGGGCATGGACTCACCTTGGGCCACGCTGGACGGCAGCTTCTGCCAATTCAGCTTCTTCATGCGCAGAGTGGGGGGCTGCACCCGCCGGTGGCTGGGGACCCAGGCGGAGCCCAGGCTGTGGGCCACGGTGATCTCCTCCGTGCCGCCCGCTGCAGGGGGCCCGGAGGTGCCCGGCAGGGGCGGGGGCGGGGGCGGGCACCCCAGGCCTGGGGGTGGAGGCGGGGGGGGTATGGTCCCAGTAGGGCCAGGCAGTGGGGGAGGTGGGGGGGGGGGAAACCCCGCCCCCACGCTCGGCAGGGGGGGGGGTGGAGGAGGTGGGGGGGGCGGGGGCGGGGGACAGGTTGCGGTGCCAGGGAGGGGGGGTGCAGCTGGGGGCGGGGTGGGCTCCAGCTGCTCCGGGGCTGTGGGCTGCGGCGCCATCCTGCCACTCTCGCCCTGGATGCTGGCAACGTGCAGGCCGGCGAGGGCTGCTGCTGGCTGCTGGCCCCCGACACCCACCGTCGGGGCACCGGTGTTTTGGGGGGAGCTGCCCCTTCGACTCTGGCCGAGGTTGACCTGGACACCCTTGTGGGCCTTGTCCAGGGAGTGAGGGCGGGGCCGCCCCTTGATGGACAGGAGCCGCTCGACCATCTCCTCCAGGGTGCACTCCTGGGCTGGGGTGGGAACATCCAGGTCAGGGTAGGGGGCATCCGGAAAGGTGCAGCCCCCTCCCTCGGGCAGGGGCGGGTCAAGGACTGAGGCTGGCCCCCTCCCCCCACAGGCTAAGAACCCAGTGTGCCCACCAGGCTGGGGTCAGGGAGGGGGACGCGGGCAGGGGCTAAGGGCACGGGGCCCCTGCCCACACTCCATCCCACCCACTCACTGTCACTGGCCAGGAGCACGGCCCGGTTCACCAGGCTCTCCAGGGCCTCCCAGAGCAGCTGGCTGGAGCGGAGGGTGGGCTCCAGATGCAAGAGGCCCTGCAGCACAGACAGCAGGTGGGCAGACACCGGGGAGCAGCTCACCTGGGCGGGGTGGGCAAGGAGTACAGGTTACAGCCATCGCCTCCCCAGAAGCGTCCACCCTGTCACCCCTCTATGCCCCACGGGGGCCCTGGTGATGCGCCTGAATCAGGGCTCCCTGATGGGCACGCCGGTGACACCTGGGGTCAGGTCAGCGTGTGGGGGCGGTCCGTGCACTGTGGGATCTGCAGCAGCATCCCTGGTCTCCACCCACTCGAAGCCAGTCGCACGCGTGCTCAGTTATGACAACCCCAGATGTCTCCAGATGTTTCTGGATGCCCCCGGGGACGCTGGCCCCTGGCTGAGAGCTGCTGGGTTCGGTGAAGGGGGCGGCTAAGCTGGACCAGAACCCAGCGCCCTGACTCGCTGGTCCCGAAGTCCCCTCGGTACCCCTCACGGTGGCCGGTGGGCTGGGCCCAGGACAGCGCAGCCAGCCTGTCCTCCTGGGTCCTGTGGCCCTGGCTCTGGCCAGAGACAGCCCAGACCTGGCCCCGGGCAGCGGGCTCCAGCCTCTGCCTCTCTCCAGCCCCCCAGGCCTCTCAGCTCTGGATGTGGCTCCCGCCGGCCCCAGCAGGGCAGGGTATGACCAGGGCAGGACAGGAGGCCCCTTCCAGCCCTGGGCCCACCGGCCCCTCCCCCAGACAGTCCTGGGAGGGGCTGCCTGCCTGGCCCACCTTGTGGAAGAGGGAGGAGAAGACCTCCTGGTGGCTGCTGACGTCGACGCCCCCGAAGACCCGCAGCAGCTCCTCTTCGTCCTCGGCCTTGGCCTCCCTGAAGGCCTCCAGCTGGATGAGCAGGTCCTCGTCCTCCAGGTCTCTGTGGCGGGAGGGTGGGAGGGGGGCGGGCGGGCTCAGCGGGCTGCTCCCCCAGCCTCCCTGCCCCCGACAGGTGCGCACACACCCCTGAGCAGGGCCCGTGGCCTGCAGGTGGCCGCCGTAGCCAGGGGCAGCCGGCCTCTCCGGTCAGCTCCTCGCCCCTCGGGACAGGAAGCGCGAGTTCTCACACTCGCAGCGACAGACGGAGGGGCCGTGCCGCGGGGGGCACGGAAGGGGGGGCAGGCCCTCCTCTGGGTGCTGGAGGGCGGCACCAAGGCTGCCCCCGAAGGGTCCCCCCGGCCTCTGCGAGCAGGCGTGGGGCTCTGGCCTGAGCGGGGTGCTGTGCGTTCACCGAGCCCAGCACAGGCCCGTCCTCAGCCTGGGCAACGAACCGCCCCCTCAGCGCCCAGCAGACCTCTGGCGGAGGCCGGCGTAGCACCAGTCGCACCAGCTGGGGCTCCTACTGCTGGGGTCGCCCCCTGCCCACTTCCCTGGGGGTGGAGGCCCCACCCTGGAGAGTGGTCCTGATAAGGCCTGGGATGGGGTTCTCAGCTACACGGGTTTCTAGATGTCCATTTAAATTTGAATTTTAGGTAAACACTGAACGATATTTAGCACAAGTATATCCGTGCGACATGTGGGCCATACTTATACTAACAGAGCGATCTGTTGTCTACCTACGATCCAATTTAACTGGGCGTCCTGTACCGTACCTGGTAACTTAGTTTCTCAGGGCAGCTCCCAAGCCCCTGGGTGGGAAATTCTGCTCAATGGCCTGTCCAGCAGTGCTAGGAATGGCTAGCTGGGTTCTCCCTGGGACCTGGCCCCAGGAGCGGTGGGCCTGCTGGGGCCACTCCAGGAAGCCCCCTCCCTGCCCATCTGGAGGCGCTGCTTGGGACCCAGGGGGAAGGGGGGCCTGGTTCTGGGGAGCGGAGTGGGGACTCACCGCAGCCGCGTCAGAACGTCCAGTAGCTGCAGCCCTGGGAACGGACACGTGCGCTAAGTCCCAGAGGCTGCGGCTCGGGCAGCCCACCCTGGGCCACCCACATCTTTGACACCTGCATCTTCACCCTTTCCCTGGGCTCACTCCTACCACCCAAAGCACCCCGCCCATTCCCTCGGGACACTGGGGATATGGGGCTCTCGGGGAAGACCACACTGGACGCACAGTGGTCCCCAGTAAACGGTCCCTGGCACAGCCAGCAGGGCTGGAACTGAACGCCAGAGGACCCGCCTCTCTCCACTGCCCGGCAGCCTTGCACAGAGAGCCCTCCAGGGCTAATGTCCAGGGGTCCTGAGGCCCTCGGTCCACCGAAGGGAGCAGGTGGGGGCAGGAGGACTCCTGGGCCCACGCAGAGCCTGCCTCTGGGGCCCTGGAGTAGAGGGCACGGGGCGTCTCCCCAGAAGGGGGCAGCGCGGGCTGGGCGGCCAGGGCCCCAGTGGCGGAGGTCCGGGCAGGGTTACCGATGAACTCGCTGCGCAGCTGGGCGCGGGCACGGACGTCCTCGGGGCCCAGGATGATGGCGTTGACCACGCTGAGCAGGGTGGCCACATAGGGCACGTTGTCACTGTCCGAGAGCTCGTTCATGATGACGCTGAAGCGGTACTGCTGGCTGCACACCGTCTGCAGGGTGGACAGGGGTCAGTGTGCCCCCAGGCCCCACCCAGGCGCCAGCCACCCACCGCTCACCTTGTAATGGTCCAGGGCGTCCAGGGTCAGGGCGTGGCCCTCGGGCGAGTAGACACACAGGGCCGCTAGCAGCTCCAGCACCTGCTTCTTGACCATCACGTTGGATGTGTCCAGAGCTGCCAAGGGCAGGGGGCCTCTCAGAGGGGCCCACCGACCCCCAGCCCGGGCTTCTCCTCCTCCCGCCCTTCCCCCACCTGTGCCCACCACCCATCCTGGGCTCCCACACTTTAGCTGCCAAGTGCCCGGCTGGCAGAGGCCAGGGGTGCTCTGTATCAGCCCACCGCCCACATCAGGCACTGGCCTCTCCAGACGCGCTGACCGTACCCGGGGCCACGGGGAGGGGTGTGGAGGCCGGCCCCAGTCACCCGGGGTCGACGCCCGCTGGCCCTCAGGTCTAAGGGGGCCCCTGTGAGCTCCGGGCCCAAGGCCAACATTGGCAGCCCTCCCAGGGCTGAGCCCGTGTTTTCTCCAAACTTAGACCAACTGTGTTTACAGCAGACACAGCCTGCGATGCCTGCTTGTCCCCATGTACCCCTGCCTCCCACTGCATTCCCGGAGCTGGGAGAGTTTTGGGGGTGTCTCTCGGCCAGCCCTGCTGAGACTAAGGCACAAAGGACTCTATAGACAGCAACAGCCGGGCCTGGGCCGGGTGGTCTCTGGTTCGCTCGCCCACACAGGCCCTGCCCGCCCCGGAGCCCCGAGCATCGTGGGAGCAGCACAGCCTGGTAGGCAAAGAGCACGCAGTGACCACTGTCCACCAAGGGCCGCTTGCGGTCTCTCCCAAGGGCTGAGGACTAAGTTGGCTGCAGTCCGGGGAGACTTCCTAAAAGAGGTGACAGTGAGCCAGAACTTGAAGGGCGGGCAGGACTTGGCAGGCACACGAGGGCACAGCAGACTGAGCGGGGAGTGGAGATGGGGGGGACCGGCAGCTGGGGAAGGAGAAGCCCCAGGTGGCCAGAGCAGGGATGGGGGCGGGGAGGGGGGTGGCGGTGGAGGACGATGCCATTGGCAGGGGCCGCAGACCTGAAGGGGTGAGGCCAAGGAGCTCGGAGCCCGGCAGAGTGGAAGCGGGCCCCTCAGGTGGACGTGTGTTTCTGACCCAGGTGACTCCAGCTGCCACGGTGTGGACAGGGGCCTGGAGGCCAGAGACCGGGGAGGGGGCAGGGCCCAAACTAGCACAGGGCTAGGTGGAAAAGCAGGGCAAAGGCACAGAACAGAGGGGGCAACTAGGTGCAGCTGGTAGAGGATCACGGCTCCAAGGTGACCTGGAGGCTTCAGACTTGGGACGATGGGAAACTGGTTCCTCCTCCAGGAAGTCCTCCCTGGCTGCCGGGCCAAGCTCTTTCTTCCTGTGCCCCAGACCTCCCACCGCCTTTCCCAGCCTGGAGCCTCACCCTGGGAGAGCTGGCGCACGTAGGCCTGGTTGCTGAGGATGTACTGGATGCCCTCCTGGGAGTTCATGACGGCACGCACGCAACTGATGCAGGTGAGCTGCAGCAGGGCGTCGGCGATGCGGGCCACGCCGCGGCCCGACAGGCGCGCCAGGGCCTCGAGCAGGAGGTCCAGGCCGCTCTGCTCCAGGAACTGCACCATCCAGCCCCCGTCGCTGCTCTCCAGGCGCTTGCGCAGCCCTGAGTAGTTGACCACGGAGGGCACCTGCAGCAGCCGGATGCACAGCTCGGGCTCAGCGCTCTCCAGGTTGGCCTCCGTGGGGTCCGAGTCCTGAGGCCCCAGCTTCTCCTTCAGCGCTGCCCACTTGCGCTGCGCGCCCTCCTTCACCGACATCTTGCTGAACTGCGGGGCCAGAGGAGAGGGGTGTCAGCCCGGAGCCCGGCCCCAGGCCCGGAGGAGAGCCACAGCCCAGCTTGGCCCCTGGCTGGTCAGTGGAGGCAACGTCCCCTGCTCCAGGCCTCCACCTGCCAACTGGGGACTCACTGCGTTCCTTGTTGATGCCCAGGCCTGCCCGGGGGACACACTACTGGCAAACCCTCATCCCACCAGGGCTGCCACTGCCCACGGGCTTCCCCTGTGCCAGGCTCTGCTTACACCCATCCTGGTCTCCATCATCACAGCAACCAAGGAGGCAGCACCGCTGTCCTCACTGAAGGCGCCAGGACCCCAGAAGGCTACACTGGCAGGAATACCACTGACCCAGCGGTGATCAGGCAGCAAAAATGGGGTCTCCGGGGCTCCCTTACCTGGCCCCCAGGGTGTTTCCCCTGCCCAGTGGGCAGAATCAGATGGGGACAATAGGATGGGCGGGGACAATTCCAGGCCCTGGTCATTTCTAGCCTGCCCACAGCATCGGGAATGTGCCTGCGGAGGGGGGCTGACTCGAGGGTCATGTCCACCGCCCACCCAATTCGGGGCAAGGCCAGGGCCCTGTGGGGAGCAGCCCTGCCAGGCCCCAGTTTCTGTGGGCCTCGCTCTGTCCGTCTGCGTGCAGTGGAAGACCGGCGTCCCCCAGGCCTGTGGCTCTCGGAGACTGACCCAGACGCAGCTGCAGGAGGTATGATCGCAGCCCAGAGAACATCCCCCGGAGGCCGAGGGGTGGCCCAGCCCAGAATGACCCCCAGACGTGCCCTTCCCAAAACGGAACAGCGGGGCAGGTGGGCTGCGCTTGTGTCATCACCACACCCACCGAGGCCCCTCCCTGGGGCCCTGGGCTGCGATGCTGTCCCCAACCACAGACCCTGGGACCGGACCCCAGAGATCAGGGGCAGTCCAGGCTCTTCTGCGACCACGTGTGGCTTGGGTCTTATATTTAGCGTGTGAGAAGGGCAGCGTGGAGGGAGGCCTCAGGGGCAGGGCACGGAAACACCACTGTGCCTCATGCCCAGGGCCTGGTGCCAGCACTGCCCACCCCGACCCTCGGCCTCCCACCACCCGGCAGGCGGGCACAGTACGCCCCCACTTCACAGGAGGGGACACGGAGGCAGCACCCAGGGAAACCAGATTACGTGCCCATGGCCCCAGAGATGGAAATGGCAGAGCTGAGGTTGGACCCCGGAGGGCGGCCTGAGGCCCTCGAGATGCTGGATGTCCAGTGCAGCGTCACCCTAAGGGCTGCTGGCCCTGGTAACTTAGAGGGGAGACCCGCGGGGCCACCTGAGGTCACAGGAGACAGGCTGAATGGGGCCAGGAGCCCAGGGGCCTGTCCCCGGCGGAGCTCGTGGCCCCAGTGCTCGCTGCTGTCTCTCTCGGAGGTCCTGCTCCCCCTCCGCCTGGGTGAGGGTCTTGGGCATCCTCGCCCCTCCTCTGTCTGCAGGGGGTCCGCACCAGGAGTCCAGCACCCTCCCCCCACCCTTCATCCTCCCCCTGCCCACCTGCCCTGCGGGACCCATGGGGTCCTTCCAGGAAGCAGCCTGGCCGGGGGGAGAGGGGGCTGACCCCCAAGTGCCCCCGGCTCTGCCGCTCCCAGCAGCCCCTGGCCGAGCCTGTTCCCTCATCTGCGCCAGCGTCGGGCTGCTGGCAGCATCCTGAGGGGTGGGAGGCGAGGGGCCTGTGGGGTGCCCCTCAGCCCTCCCCCAGGGGCCCCCACAGCCTGGGTCCTGTGCTGGGCCAGGTCGGCTGGAGAAGCCAGGGCCCGCCCCGTGACTGCACCCTCCCAGGCCCGGCCGCCTCAGACCCCCAGGCACTCACCCAGATTCTCAGGACCTTCCGGCTGCCTCGGCCCATCGATTCTGGGCCTTGCCACCGGCTGCCCTTCACACTCTCCTGGCTTCTCATCACTGCTGACCACTGAACTGCCCGGTACCAGCCGTGGCCCTGATCCCTCCCAGGCAGCCTCTCAGTGGAGGGGAGGGGGCCGCTCCCACCAGCACCACGGAGAGCACGGCAGACGGACCTCCGCACACACTGCCACCCGCCACGGGTGCTGCCGCTTAAGGAGGACCCAGAACCGACCCTCCCTTCCCGCCCCGCCTCCACTGGCCCGAGTCCCTGGCTGCTTGGCACAGGCTGAGTGGACAGAGCGCGAACTCTCCCAGGCCAGCACTCTGGCCTCCAAGTGTCCTCGCCAGCCAAGAGTCCCAGGGGTCCCTGGATGCAGAGGCAGCCCATGTCACCAGAACCACCCTTCCCGGTGCTGCCCCGTCCTCCCAGTACACACCCAATTCCCGGGCCCACAGGCTTGCTGTCCTGAAAGACCCCCCACACGGGAGCCCTGGGTCTGCGGGAGCGGAAGCAAGGCAGGGGACCAGCCCTGCCCGCCACCCGTCCACGAAGGGTCCTACGCCACGTGCCCTGGCACCGAGCTCTGCCCCAGGCGCCGCGTGGGGCAGCGATGGTGCGCAGGGCTCGGCTGGCCGCGGCCCAGTGAGCACAGGGCATCCAGCTGGGAGAGCAAGCTCAGCTAGTGACCCAGAGGCTTAGGTGGGGAGGCTTCTCTCCCTCCGTGATGCCCACCAGGGTGCCCAACATCATCCAGGGCCGTCAGGCCCTGGGCCAAGGACATCCTCCTAGAAATGTTCCAACTGCTTTTCAGGATAAAGACTGAATACATAAATGGACCACGACCAGACCATATATAAACACGGAACTCTGAGCCACGGCTGCAGCCACCAGCCCGAGACACCCAGCCACCATCACAGGAACCAGCGCAGGAAGCAGCCTGCTCCCTCCGCGCCAGACCTGCAGGAAGTCAGACCTCCATCTCTAGCGACAGCCCAGGAGGCCCTACAACCGCCTTGTGACATCCCCCCACGGCCGGGACTTGATCAGTAACCCATGGCTTCCACTATTTTTGTCCTCGCTTCCAACTGAGGACCAACTGGGTAAAACCGGATGTGCCCCCAGCCATGTGGACGCCCCGCGTCTTATGGGCCGCCCAGCTTCCCAGTCCCGCAGCCCCCGTCATGACCGAGGCCCCCTTTTTCCTGTAAAGAAGCTTTCTGTACACAGAAAATATTTCAACGTATTAACATATATTATATAACACGCATGTAGATGGGTATGTGTATATCTAACATTCTATGTCTGTAGTAACCAGCCAGCAGACAACTCCCTGGCTGCAGCAGCTTGGAATAAACAGCCTTTGCCTGTTCCCGTCTGGGCGGTGGCTGAGCACTTCCAAAGCGAGCACCGGAAGAAGTTAACCTTTACTGCTCTCAGGGGCACAGGCTGTGGGGACGGCCCTTCCTGACAACACCCGGGACGCTGCGTGGGAGGGAGCGTGGTGGAAGGCTGCTGCCTCCTTCCTGGGCTCACCGGCTGTGCGCCCAGGGAAGTTACTCTGCCCCTCTGTTCTCCATCTGTGAAGTGTCTCAGAGGGCTGCAGCGGGTTTCCGTGCAGAAGCTGCACCCGGTGGGCAGAGCGAGCGCGCAGGGCTCTCCCGGCTCTTGTCATCCTGTCCGTGGATGCCTGCCTCTCTGCCCTCGGGCCCCGCTCAGCCCTGGCCCACCGCGCAGCCAGTCCAGGTGCCGAGACCTGGCGGGGCCACGGGGACCAACCCAGTGTAGTCTAGTCAGGGCGGGGCCCCAAGCTCAGGAATGTGTTCCCAGTTCTGCGGGGGGTGCCCCCCCCAGATGAAGGGTGTGGCCAGCCTGCCCAGAGCAGGGCCAGCACGGGAATTTGGAATGGCAGACCGATTTATGCAGCCAGCACAGCAGGCTTAAGAAGAGCACGACCACGTGGGGCTCCCAGGGGTTCAAGTTCAAGTGGCTCAGGCCAGCCCCCGTCCCTTGGCAACTGAAGCACCCCCATCTGTCCTCCAAGCAGTCCGCCCCACCCCTGCACAAAAACTACAGGGGCAGTGACCCTTTGCAGAGAGAGACCCTGAGGCTCTGACATTAGTGGGATGTTGCCCGTGGATCCTTAACGTTCACCTTTTTTCTTCCATTAACGTGGAGTTTCCACTTGGACCGGGTCATGCCTTCCCGTTCGGACGGGGACTCCAGAAGGTAGGGTCTCCCTCTGAGCTTTCCCAGGGTCAGCCCAACGATCCGGGTGTCCTGCTCATGGGCACTCGCCCAGCCCACACAGATGCCACTTTGTCAGACACCCATCTGGCTCTCCTCCTGCACCTGGCCAGCCTGACACAGTGATGCTGGCACCTCCGCCTGGGCACCCTCATGCCTGGGCAGCTGTGCACTCTCGGGAAGCCACCGCCCCTGCTTGGCAGTCATCAAACTGAGTGCGTGCGTATGGCGGGGGCAGGGTCAAAGCTGGCCTCCCAGACCTCCCAGACCAGCCCCTGCAGATGGAGAAACTGAGCCAGAGAGGGCGAGCTGGTCCAGGCAGGCACTGGGCACTGAGCTGTGTCCTGGGCACGGCTGCTGGGAGGCCCTGCACGGATCCATCGGACTTTGAGCAGCGTGGTAGGGTGAGGAAGCCCAGACTCGGGGTAAGCACTTGGCACCTTGTGGAGGTGGGTGAGGCCTTCTGTTCCCCAGTCCCTGCAAGGGCTGGCGGAGGAGGCGCTCTGGGGCCGGAGCGGGGGCCAGGGCTAAGGAAGGTGCCGGTGAGGGGGACTGGCTGCCTGAGGCTGGGGAGACAGCTTTGGGGTAGCCCTGCCAGCATCAGCAAACGGGCTGGGGTGCTTCTGGGCCCAGAGCCAGCGAGGGCGGGGGCGGGTGCAGAGAGTCAGCTCGTCTCCCCCCGGGGTGGGCGTAAAACGGCAGGAGGGGGTTCCGGAACTGGACGGCAGGGGCTGCCACACCGTATTTTTAGCTCCTACAAGAACCCAAATTTTCCCACTGCCTGGCAGCTCCTCCTGGAGCTCAGGGGCAGCCCGGGCCCTGCCGGGTAGGAGGGGGAGCTGAGGCTGCCCTGCTGTGACCCCGTTACCCCTCCTTTCCAGAATCTTGGCTCCTGTGTCATCTTCACCAGGCCCCGAGCCCTCAGGGTGCCTCAACTCAACTGTGTGGGTCACCTCCCATGGGCTCATCCCAGGCAGGGGGTCCTGTGCACAGTGGGCCCCCGGGAAGGAACTGCGCGTCCACCCATCGCCTGCCCGTACCCGGGCGTGGAGTGCGCAGGGTCCTCACGGGTCCCTGGCCCGTCTCCCGTCCAAGGAGCCCTCCTGCCCGCCCCACCTGCCGTCTCCAGGATGGGGTGTGAGGCCCCTGCCTCTGGAGCCCTCACTGCATCCAGCAGCGGGACAGAGGGGCCCACTGGGAGGTGGGTGGGCACCAAGACATTCGCGGCAGCACCAAATTAAAACCCAGAGGTGACAACCGGGGTGCCAGGCGCACTGTGTGGGATTCCAGCCACGTGAAATGTGACGTGTCACACGAGACACGTGCCAAACGCTAAGAGATGATGCATCCACGGTGAATATGGTCATTTTCATAATTATAAAGGGACAGAGCAAGCAAAATGGTAGAAGGAGACCAGCAGCATCTCACAGAGGGAGCTGGGCTTCGAGCAGGTCCACCCCCAGCTCGGGTCACCAGGGGTGAAGGGATGGACCTGGGAGCTGGGTCTTCTGTACGGTTAGTTAGTGGAGAAGGGCCGGGGGCCTGGGTGGCCCACCGTGCCCAAGGATCTGGACCAGGTTGGAGTCATGACCGACGTGGCCTGCTCACACCCTCCTTGTTAGGAGCAGAAGCTGGTGGGAGCCACACAGGGAGGGTCCTGGTGCAGGGAACTGACACGGGTGAACAGGAAAAGCCAGCCGGAGCTGGGGCAGGTGGTGCCGCCCTACCCTGGGCTCATTGGGAGGAGGGTCCCCGCAGTGCAGCCCTGAGCTGGGCATTGTGGGTATCTGGGCTTCTGGTAAGGGGCTGGGGGTGATCTGGGAGCCCTATTCCCTGGGGATGAGCCAGCTCGGATGCAGAGAGAGGACAGGAAGGGTGGAGGTACCCACACCAGGAAGCCAAGCTTTTGCTTCCAACTGCCCTGAAGGCTCACAGGAACCGGGTCTGTCCTCGCCTCCTGCTGTCACCTGGTCTCTGGGCCTCGGCCTCCCCAGCTGCACACAAGCAGAGCCAATGGGGGAGCGCCCAGAGGGCCTGGCCACCTCTGCCAGTCTCAGGGCTCTGGTCCAGGTTCTGGGGGATCCCAGGCCGGGAGGGAGGGGACCGGCTCAGGGGCCAACGGTGACAGAGACCACTGCCGCCTTCTGGCGGTCAGTCAGCTCTGACAACGAACACTTGAGGGAAGTGATGGGTGCAGACCTGCGGTCAGGGAGTGAGCAAGGGCGAGGAACTTGGTGGCCCCGTGGGTGGCAAGGCGGCGTCTGGCCACAGCTTCCACCTGCAGGGCTCCGCTGGGCCGCACGCAGACCTCAGGCTCGCCACCAGCGTCCCCTCTGCATGGGTTCTCTCCAAGACCAGACAGAGCTCAGAGCAGCCTCCTCCAGGAAGCCCCGTGTCCCTCCCCCTGGCCCCCTGCTGCCCTCAGGAAAGGCCTCTCCCAGCAGGGAGGAGGACCCTTGGTGTCCAGGGAAGGAAAGGGGTAGGCCAGCTTCAGGCCCTGATCGCCCTGTGATTGTCTAGGCCTCAGGGTCTTGGGGTAGGACATGAAGGCCACCCACTGCCTGCCCCAGGGGGGCCCCCACCCACCCCCGCCTGTCCTACGTCCCCATTCCAGGCTGCCTGCCCAGAGTAGGGAGAACAAAGCAGCAGACTGGCAGGGAGGGGCCCAGCCTGCACAGCCTGGCACTGCCAAGGGCTGCAGCCAGAGCCTGGGGGCAGGGGACAGCTCAAGTTCTAGCTGAGACCAGGCTCTGCTGCTGACTGGCCGTGTCCCTTGGGCAACACACAGGACCTGCTGGGCCCTGGATTCTGTCCTCACACAGGGATGAGCATGTTGGTGCCACCTCCCCACCCCAGTCTGCCAACAGATCCACGGATGCCACCTGCAAAGTGGGCCCGTAGCTGCTAGGAAGTGCTGTGCCCCACTGCCTACCAGTCCACTGTGCGCGACGTCGCCTCGGCCAGGCTGCCGTGGCCGACACTGAGCTGGAATGGAGCATGCCTCTTCTCCAGTCCCGCTCAGCATCCCTGGGCCACCCACCCCAGAGCCAGTGCCAGGAGCCCGGCCCTACCGGGTAAGTGGGATCCTGAGCATCAGGCACAAGACGCTGTGTGCTGTTCCTTGCCGGGCACCGAGGGGCCAGGCCCATCCTGGACTTGGTTTTCTCATCTACAAAATGGCCAGAATGTTGTCCAGGGACCGTGGGTTGGCTGGGCCAGTACCGTTTGCACAGGCGCCGGGCCTGGCCAGTAAGGCCCCTCCCAGGCGGCTCCCCTACTCCTCTCGGAGGCGACCTCCTAGGTCCTACCCCTGGGCCCTCGTCCCGGCCGTCCCTCCCATCGCTCTGCCACCTGCCACAGGCGGCCCCGACTGCTCTGCCTCCAGCTGCACAGCCTGGCCCGGCCCCTGCGTCGATAGCCTGGAAACACCAGGCAGGGGCCATGGATGTCCCCAAAGTGGGCAGCATCCGATCTGGGCACACGGGGCTGGCGTTCTCAGGCCACTCACGCCTGTGCACGTGGGGCGGCGGAGCCAGGCCGGGAAGGGGGACGGGCAGCACCCCCTCCCCACCCTGGGGCTGGGTGAAGAGCAGATGTCTGTTTCCCGGCTGCGGTGCGCGGGCGGCAGTGCCGAGCTGTACATACTTGGAGCAAAAATGGGGACACGGGCTCGGGGACATGGATGGTGGGAGAGGCAGGCTGCACACCGAGGCCACATCCCAGGGCCCCAGAGGACCGGGACCAGGCCAGACGGGGAGACTGAGGCCCTCTCACCCAGCTGGGCAGGGCCCATGCTGGCACCCACGCCCACATCCACCAGCACTTGGCGAGGACCAAGGTCAAGCTCAGGAATGGAGAAGCCCCTGCCCCACCAGCTGGGTCTGCGGGGATTGTGTGACGCGTGTGGAGTGGGGGAACCAGCACTGTGTGGCACAGCGGGGGCTGGGGCCGGCCTCTGTTCACACAGCCGAGCGGGGTCTCAGAGGAAACGCAGGGAAACCACGGCCCAGGGCTGTGATGCGGCCAGCGTGGGCCGCGCGGCCCCGCCCCTCGCCCCTGACCCACTGCACCCTCTAGCCGCAGCACTCCCCTTCGATGCTAGGCCTCGGTGGCACCACCTGCAAAACAGGAAGCAGAGACAGCCTCCACCTCCCCAGGCGTGCGCCTCCCACCCATGCAGGGCTTCGCTCAATGGCCCTGGCCAGCCGGGCCTCCAGCAGCGCTGGCCTTGCACCCCTTCCCAGGGAGGCCTCCACCTTCCCGAGCGGGTGGGCCCAGGCACAACCTCCTGGGAGCTGGTGGTCCTCCAGTCTGCCCTCCCCCTCCCTTCCCACTGGGCCCAGCTCACAGGATGGGGGGGGCTGAGGATGCTCTGGCAGGCTGTGAGCAGGGGCCGCTGCCCAGGGCACCCGGGAGGTGCAGCTGGGAAAGCTGCAGCAGGGCAGAGGGCTGTGATGGGGCAGGCCGGGCAGGCGGAAGAAGAAAGCGGCCTTGGCCCTTGCCCTTCTGCTTCAGACAGCTCAGGGAGAGGGGCCTTTTCGTCAGTCACCCACCTGCGACTGCTTCCGCCCCTCCCGCCCCCGGCCACTGCCAGGAGGGTCCACCTCCCTGATGGGCCGGCGGCTCCCAGGCTCCAGGGCAGCTGTCCGTCCGCGTTGGCTGCTCTGCTCTGCACTCACACAGGTGGGTGCCCTGAGGGTGGGCCGGCACCCCCTCCCCGCATTGGGGGCCAGGGGCAGGGGGCGCTGCTTGGCCAGGACAAAGCTCTCCTAACTCCTAGGGCATCGGGCCTGGAACCCAGAGGCTGCTGCACCCATGTGCTTGCTCTTCCTGTGGGAACTGCGGTGGTGATAAGGGGCAGGGGGACAGCCCTGGCCTCCAAGTGCTCCCCAGGGGCCGGCCAGTTCTCCCCTGGCCCCCGGGGCAGCACGTCCCGCACGCCCAGTGTGGTGGATGCCATGCTCCGGCTACCACAGCGGCGAGGGGAGCATGAGCCTGACGCACACAGCAGGGACTTCACAGACATCTCTTGCCAGGAGCACAGCACCGGTTCTGTCCCCGAACCACCCCGTGTCTCAGTCTCCTCTTCCCCGTGAAACAGACAAGAATCCCAAGACCCACCCTTACCCAGGACGGCGTGAGGGTCAGAGATCACAGTGGGAACGCGGCAGGCTGGTTCACTCGGCCCTCCTCTCCTTCATTCATTCAGCCCACAGACCCTCAGACCGTGGGGGGACCTCGCCTCTGGGTTCCTCCTCTGGGTGCCCTCACAAGCCAGGGGCTCGAGCTCACTTCAGGGAAAGCCCCCCCGCCAGGGTCCAGGCCAGGCCAGCTGGTCACACCTGCACCCAGGGCGGCGGCCCATCATCAACCAGTTACCATCCATCCCTCCTGCAGTTCCACAAACCACTAACTTTTCCAACCTGGAAAACAACTGCACTTTGATGAAAGGCAAATGGAATCTATTCAGGGTACAGCTTCCAGGTCCCAAATGTGAGGTGTGTGCAATTAGCTCCGACAGCCTGTCAGCACCTCCACAAAGCGGGGGCCCCCACCCGACGGTTAACTCTTTGCCGCCAAGGAGCGGAGCCTCAAAGGACTTGAGGCCTGGATGGGTCACGGGAGGGGCAGCCCTACCTGGTCACCTGGGTTCACGCCCCCGGCAGTGCCCCCTCCGCCTGCCCACCCGCCCCGATGACCTGTCAGCCCCGAGCTGGGGGCCGGGAACTCTTGTGGAAGAGACGGGAGGGTGGGCCTGGGCAGTGGTCGGGACGGGCCTACCGCTCCAACCTGGCCCTTTGAGCAGAAAGTTGATGCCGGCGTGGAGAGGAGTGGGGACAGTGTGAAGTCTCAGACTCCAGACCTGGAATCAGACGCCCACCCACAGCTGCCACAAGAGGGCTGCAGCGAGCACTACCCAAAGCCCGCCACCCTGGGAAGCACCATGACGGGGTCTGGGGCTTTGTTCTGGGTCCCCAACTCCCTCACCGCTGGGCGACAGAGGAGGTTCACACCTGAGCAACTGTCCCCACCCTTCAGGGTGCAGGTGGGGAGACTGAGGCCCAGAGAAGGCTGGAGTCCTGGTCGGTTCTCACTGCCAGAGGGAGAAGGGGGCAGGGCTGGTGGGGAGGGGACTTCCCAACTCCAGCTCCTTCATGGGTGTGCCTGACCTCTGGCCTTGTTCCTGATTCCCAGCTGGGGCAGGGTCATGGCCACCTTAGGTGCTCTGACTCTTGGTGTGTGTGTCCAGCTGGGGTGGGGCACTAAAGCTGCGGTCACAACTGAGGCTGGCCACCATGCAGCCTGGGGCCCTGGGTCACAGAGGCTCAAGAGGCCAGACAGACAAGTCTCCCTGCGTGTCTCCCCAGGAGCAGCCAGTGTTGGTGGAAGCACGGATTCCCTCCTGAGGCTACGGTCACTCCCGGGTTCCTCCCCAGGAAAGGGGCCCAGGAGTGGGACCGGAGCAGCACAGGGCCAACTATCAGCCCCATCCTGGAGGAACCCGGAGTAGTGACGGGGGCTCGCTCCCCCAAGGCCTGCCTGTGGGGGTGCCAGGGCCCCGTGTGCGCCCACCTGCATGCAGGCGGCTACAGACCCAGCAGCCCAGGCGGGGCCGCAGGCCGCCGCATGCCTTGCGGTGCCACTTGAAGTTGAACTTTATTCCCAACTGTGTCTGATTCATAGTCAGGATGTAGCAGCCGCGAGGCGGGTAAATTCTGCCGGCACCGGACAGGGCAGAGGCCCGGCCAACCCTCGGCCCCACCACTCGAGGGCAGCGCGCGCTCGGGCGGCGTCTCCGCACCGGGGCCGGCAGTCCGGGGTGGGGCGCGAACCGTCGGGGCCGGGGCGCCGCAGGGTCCCCGCCTGGGAACCGGGATCCCGCCGCCCTGGGCGCGGGGCTGCTGGGCGCCACCCCGGGCGCACACGCCGCTCCCCCAACCCCACTCCCCGACCCCAAGCGCCTCCATGGCCCGGACTCAGTTTCCCCGCGGCTCCTGGCCGGCCCAGAGGTAGCCGACTTACCGGGAGGGGACGGCGGCGGAGGGCGGGTATATCAGGCCAGCGCTCGGTCCGCGTCGGGTCAGGAGCCGCGGACTGCCGGCCCACTGCGGGGCTCCGCACAGCTAGGGCTCCGGCTCCGCTGGGCGCGCGGGAGGAAGAAGAGGCACCGCCCAGCCCCGCCCGCCGGCGGCCACGTGGGGAGCGGGCGTCGGCCGGGGCGGAGTCTGCGGGGGGGGGGCGCCGGGAGAGGCCCCGCCCGCTCTTGCCAGTTGGGCTGGGGAGCAGGGGAATCTCCTCGCGTCTATAAATACCCGGGCCGCCTCCGCCGCGGCTCGACAGGTTCCCGGCCCTGCCAGTTTCGCTGTTCGTGGGCCGGGGTGGCGCTGGGGAGTGAGACACACAGAGCGGGGAAGGGGTGGGGGCGTCCTGGGAAACATCTGGAAGTGGTCTCCCCACCTCAGCCCTCACTGTCCGCCCCCTCCCTGGGCTCCACTGCTCCCCCATTTGTAAAACAGACAATTACGCCTAAAGGTTACCAGGTGAGATGAGCACACGTGGTGAAGTGTCTCCACTGTGGTTTTGTCCTGCCAAATGTCTCCCGAGACCTGCAGTGTTTGGACCATGGTGGGGGTAGTGTGGGTGGAGAGGGCTCATGATGGGCCGTTCAGGGCAGAGGGAGCAGCGCCAGGTCCAGGCGGCTCCACAACCTTGCCCCCGCTTCTCCCTGGGGCCAACCATACCCCTCGGCCCCCAGCCTGCCCCTGTCGGGTGGGGATAAGAGCAGCGTGTACAGCGCCTGGAAGTCTCCTTGGCTCGGCCCCAGTGAGGGAGCAGCTTCTGGCAACAGGCCGGTGTGGAACGAGGGCCTCTGAGGGCTGGGCATGCCCAGGTGAGCCGCCAAGGAGGGTGCGCTGGCTCCTGGACACCCTCCAGCCAGGGGACGTGTGAATGTGGAGGCCACTCCCTGACGGGACGCTGCCGGGACTCTGCTGTTCTTGGAATGTGCCAGTCGTTTCTCTGAGGACCTGGCCTGCCTCTGCCTGGAGGGCTGGCCAGCGCCCCTACTGGCTCCCCGCCCCTCTCCTCGACCCTCCCGTGGAGCAGGTGTGGCTTCCTCCTGGAAGCCTTCCTATCCTCCCCGAGCTGGATTTCAGGCCCCTCCATGCCCTCCTGGATCCCAGCAGTTGGCACCTCTGGGGGTGACACCAGTCGCTGACTCACTGCTTCCCCAACCTGGCTCCTGGCCGCAGCCGGCTGTGGTCAGTGGGTGTCTCTGTGGATCCAGTGGATGGGGGGGGGAAGGGGGGGAAGGTGGGGAGTGACTTTCCAGCCTTCAGGCCGGGCTGGGGAGGGTGACCCAGCTGGGAGAGCAGCGTCGAGCGGGGCCTCCCGTGCCCTGTGCCCCCAGCTCTTACCACCTGGGGCAGGGAGCAGGCAGAACCCTGAGTCTCCCCCAGTCGCTGAAGCGGGAGGCCTGGCTTTGGCCAGGGATCTATGGCTTGGCCACTGGGTCAGCCCTTCTGTGGCACACTCAGGCATGAGGACCCCTCCCCTGATGGAAAAGAGGGAAGCTCTCTTGCCCCCAGAGCTGGCTCCTGCCCAGGGCTTTCTCCCTTGTGCTCCAGCCTGGGGCAGGTGGGCACAGTCCCGGCTGTCCCGGTCTGGCGGGTGTCCTGCATGGCGTTACCCGAGGGTCGGGTCCGTTCACTGCACCTGGCCCCCTCCAGCATACACCCACGGTGGCACTCGTGCAGGCCTGAGACTGACCCGCAATGAGCACGCACCCACAGCACCGTGCTTGGGCCACAGTGAGCCTGCGGAGAGCCTGTCACTGCCTCCCGCTGGGATGCAGAAAACAGAGATCCGGAGGAGGGAGCAGAGCAGGCTTTGGGCGCTGACGCGTGAGCTCTGGGAGCAGCCACGCAGGCACGGGAATTTCTCAGAGAGAGAGGCCTTCCAGCCCCATGTTTGATGCCAGGACAGACCTGAGTGTAGTGAGCGGGCACTTGTGGGCCAAGAGGGGAGCCTGGGGCCCGCCCGGGCACCCCAAGCAGCCACCTGGCCTTGGGCTTCATTTCCTGCGTCAGTTCAGCACCCAGGATGCTTTTCAGTCTTTACCTTTTGAAATGTTTTTCCTTTTTTTATCCTGTTGGGGTGCCCTGATGTGACCCCTGATACTGCTACAGAATGAAGTCAGCAGAACTGTGCCCCCCATCCATTCACCCACCCACCCACCTACCTACCTAACCACCCATCTACCTATTCACCCATCCACCTACCCATCTACCACCCATCCATCCACCTACCCACCCATCCACCTACCCACCCACCCATCCACTCACCCACCATCCACCCATCCATCTTCCCATCCTTCCTTCCACCCACGCACCCACGCACCCACTCACTCACTCATCCATCCATCCACTCATCCACTGCAGGACTAGGTCTATCTGGTGAGTAAGACCTGGGGTACCTAGCTCTGCTACAGAGCAGCTATGGCACCTCGGGCAACCGTTCTGCTTCTGCTCTTGTTGACAGGAACCTGACCACGCTGGTCACCTCCAGAAAGGTGGGCTGTAGTACGGCCCACGCTGCAGGCTCCGGCCCTGGGCCCCGCTCCTCTCAGCATCCCTGTCCCTCCTTCAGCGCCTTTTTCCTCTGTAGCCCGGCGGCTTTGGCCACTGTAGCCTCAACACCCCCTCTGGCCAGAGGTGACGTCAGTCAGGGCCCATCCCTGGTCTGGAGAGGGGAGGTGGGACCCGGGACCAGATTCTCAGAAGGGACAGTGGGTGGGCCGGTCAGTCAGAGGCTCGGGTGGGTCAGTAACCTCCAGCCTCTTCCTCTGAGTAGCGGTCACACACTCAGGAGATCTCATCATTTGCAGACCTGTATTTGGGAACTTGCCTACTTGTTAAAATCTATTTGTGACCCTAAAAATCACTACTTGTCTTGCAGTCTTTTGCTGACATGTGTAGACCGGCAAAAACTCTGTGAGTCCCCAGCTGAGGTCGGACGAGGCGATGCTCTGTGCCTTCTCGTTTAATCGCATGCTGCAAACACGGCCAATTTAGTGTTCAGTTTTCCACATTTTTGTGCTTTTTCGGGAGGAGATTTCCCCGTTTAAAGTGGCCCCCAGCATAGCCCTGAAGTGTGTCCAGTGGCTCTTAGCACAGGGAGGTTGGACGTGCCTCACAGAGAAAACACCTGTGTCTGAGGGGCATCCTGTCCACGTGAGCTACAGGGCAGCCGCCTCGGGTTCAACTCTCATGAACAATACAGTCGTAACAAATACAGTGTCTTTAAACAAGAACACAAGAATATGTAGAAGCAGCTTACGTATCAACTGGCTGAAAGAATGTGGTCCGAGGCTGGTGGGACCCTGACCCTGGGCTCCCCCTTGGGCAATGGCTCAGTTCTCCAATATTCAGTGTTTGTGGCGACTCTAGAGACCAGAACCGCTGCGCCCTGGGGCTGGCCAAGATGTTGTGTGGCTCCCGCATCAGAGCAAGAGGCCCATGGGCTCCCGCGTGGACCTCCCGGCATCTGCAGGCCCGTCCAGCCAAGGAAGCCACGATGCAGAGGGGCGGGGGTGTCGGCAGAGCTGGCCGAACTCTGGACTCCTGGTCTCTCTGTCCATGGCCACCTCCCCTCTGGTGCCTCTCTGAGCAGCTGGGCCAGTAGTCCTGCAGTCCCCTAGGGCAGTGGGTGGCCATCCCTGGGGAGTGCTGGGGCCATGCCCAGAGATGCAGCCTGCAGAGCAGAGAGGAGCTGGCCTGGGGCCTCCGCTGACCCACCAAGACTTGGACTGTCCCTTGCCTCCTGGACTCCCTTCATCGCCTCAGTTACCCAGTGAAGGTCTAGTTGGGACTGTGGTTTTCTCCTTGGTTCTGCAGAGATAACCCAGTGTGACGGGGGCACACAGCAGCTCAGTGTTGACTTCTTTATATGGGGTGTGGGGAAGCATCTTTAACTCAAGATAAAGGTTCTGCAGGAAAAGAGGCAAGAAACCATTGGGCCATGCAGCCCTGGCTCTGGGAGTGCTGCAGGGGGCGGGGGAGGCTGCCGGCAGGCACACCCGCTGGAATCCCAGGGGCCTCCTTAGGGCTTCGACGGTGGGGAGGTGCCTGAGACCCACCCTGCCCCAAACCCAGTGTCTCCGTCCACGTAGCAGTTTTCGACTCACCTTGCCCTGGGCCTTGAAGCTGCAGACTCAGAAGGTGGGTCTCCCCTCTCCCCTCTAGAGAGGCAGGGCTCTGGGCAGAGGGCTGAGGGGCAGAGGTGACTTGGGGGGAAGGGAGGGAACAGGGCATTTAGGCTGAAGAACCAGGTCCCCCCTGGTGTTTGCTGAGAGGTGGAAATCAAGGCCGGAATCCTTGATGCTGGTTTTGGCCACTGGGCTGTGTCTCTCAGAGGCGCAGCGCCAAGCCTGTGCCTCCCAGTCCTTGGAGGTTTTGTCCTGGCGCACCTGCCTTGCTGCGTCCCACCCCTCCGGGCTCCGGCCTCCAGGCCCCCCCACGCGGCAGTCCCCTGCTCCTCCGAGGATAACCGGTTCCATTCGGCTCCCAGCCATCCTTGAATTAGGCTCCCAGCCTCTTCTCCTGTGTGGAAAAGAACCCGCCGGCATCTGAGCTTTCCCGGGGAGGAAGAGTTCACAGATTTCAGGCGGGGATGGAGGAGGGGGCTCCACTCCCTCAGCGCCCAGGACAGGGCTCTACCCCACCCCCTCCCGCC